TTTTTTTTTTCATAATAATTATCATTTATATAAATTTAGTTAAGTAAACTATATTTATTTCTTAAGTTTTTTAATTATGCTATGATTGAAACTCAAAATATAATAAAAACCTTTTTTTTTATTCTATTAAAATTTTGGCATTTTAACTCAAAGACATTAATTTAATGGAGTTAAAATTGATTATATGTATGCCATTTATAGTTAAGTAACAAAAATAAAAAAAAACCTCCTTTTTATTTTTTTATAATTATACAATGTTTTCCATAAAATTTTGAAAATTGAAAACTACTAAAAGGGATGCTACATAACGATGACACATAAACTTTAATAAATATCACTAGTGAAAAACTAGTAAATGTAACGTCAAGGCCATATTAAAGGTAAATGCTACCTTACAGTAAAAAATTTTTGCTACCTATTCTATCTAACAACTTGTGTATATTAAATTTAACTATATTAATGAATATTTGGAGTTCTATACCCAGGATTCTAAACATAATAGTTTAGTGATTATGACTGAATAATAACAATATTATGAATTTTATTCAATTATAAATAAAATTAGAAAATAAAAGGTTAAATTTTTTAGCTTTTTAAAAATTCAATTATAATTGTCTTGATTTCGATTTTAAACAAATTTTGTATTGTTTGAGTTTATAGAAGAAAAAACTAAATAGTATTCTATTATTATACCACCAATCGATTTTTATCTATATTTTTCAATATATTCTAAATTTATATTTTTAATGTTATTTCAGAAGGAAATATTAAATATACCAACTAAATATGCTCAAAACCCTCAATCTATGTTGCAATATGAATACAAAAGTGTTTACTTTGTTTGTCGTAAGCCAAAAGTTCCACATGTTATAACACCCTCAATTTCTGAAAATTGTATAAATAACATTGAGAATTTTGACTATCCACTTAAACAATTAAATACTGCTTCTGGTCATTTATCACCAAGAAGTGACATTGAAGAGCATGATGTTGAGTGTAACTATATTGATAAATGCTTATAATGTGACAGTTTTCAAATTTTTGTGATAATAAATTAAGATTAAATACATTTGTAATATTTACAAAAAAGATAAAAAGGACCTAATTTTTATGTGCATATTTTGATAAATTGTTTATAACATTTTGAATCTCATTTAATATTGTTTTTTAAATGACATGACATTTAGGAAAAAACATCTTTAGTTAGAATTAAGTGATTATATTTACACAGTCCACAGTTAATGAAAAAACTTTACTTAATTAAATAAAAATATTAAAACATGTAATAATTTATACATTTTAAAGCATGAATATTAATGTATAATTTAATTTTGAAGTAAATATGAAATGTTATTGAACAGTTACTTTAATAGTAGCGTTTCTTTTACTATTAGAATATATATTAAAATAAGTCTTATTTTTTAAGTTAATGTTCATATACAATAAAAAAAATTGACATCATTTTTTTTTTTTTACATATTACTAACATATCAATTTACTTTTCCATGACATTACCATTGGAAATTATAAATTTGTTACACTACAATAAAAAACATTTTAAAGTAATAAAAAAAAACTAGTTGAATCACTTAAATGTTATATATATATATATATTGTACATCTATAAAACATAAAGTACATTATTTAAGATAACTATATTACATAGTTTTATTATTAAATATTCAATGCATTGCAATTTATCTTGATTCAGCTTTATGTTTTGGTGGTTTAAATGATTTTATCTTTTTACTTGATTTTTTAGATTTTTCTTGAAAAGCTTTCCAACTGTTTACTCTACTTTCTCTAGATTCCTATGTATTAAAAATAATTACTAAACTTTGAAAAAATATATAACAGTTATAACAATAATATTTAAACGACCAACAGAATTAGCCCCAAAATTATCATCATCATGTAGCCTTTATCCCAACTATTCAATGTTGGCTCTGCCTTAACGATTTGACGGAATTTTATATCAGCTTTTGATCTGACGCAACCTCATTATGGCTATTGGAACCACTAAGGGAGTAAGGTGTGTATCACAGATAAAATTGTTGTATAGTTACCTATCAGGTAACTAACAGCAAATAGTGCAACTAAAGCATCAATGTTAAAGCAGTGACTGAATAATCCACTGCTTCAAACTACATTCCTACCCCCAAAAATTAATATTATTTTATAAAATAACTTGTATTTTAAGATTATGAATATAAATCACATATATTTTTTTTTTATGTTTTATTTTAGATAATCAACTAGGTTTCTATAATTTATCGAAAATTGTAAAGATCATGTAAATGTATATATATAACATCACATTTAATTGTATATATTAAAAATTTTTCTACCACTACTCTTTTCTCTAGAATTATTGCTTTCCTAAGAAGTTTTTTGATGCACCGATAAAGGTACTTGGATGTTCTTTTATAAGTATAAAATAAATTTTTATAATACAATAAATATTTCCCTTAATTTTCGAGACATTTTAACATTTAAAACTTTTAAGAAAATACTTTTTATCTATAAAAAATAACAAACTTGAACATAGAAGAGGATGAATTTTTGTAGAATGTAAAATATTGTTTTCTAATATAAAAATATTCAAACTAAATTTTGAATAGTTATTGTACACTAAAAAAGTATAACAATTCAATTAAGGGTATTTTATAAAAAAGGACACAACATGTTTAATTTTTTTCTTCGTAATTGCAAAGTAATATATGTTTGTTATTTATTATCATCTATAAGACTTAATTATTTACTAAAACTCACTTTTTGAACCTTGTATATATAAGTTACTTATATTAAAAAAATTATGAATAATACTTGCATCAAAGTTTTTCTGCCATTCTTTTGACATAGAAGCCTTCTGTTCTTCTTCAATTTCTTGTTCTCTTTTTCGTTTTCTTTCTTGTTGATCTCTTTCTTCATGTTGTTTTCTTTTGCGTTCTAAATCAGCAAATAACTTACATGTTTGGACATATATACTACGTTTCATAATAGCAGGGTCATCTTCTTCTACTGTTAATTCTTTGCCTTCTTTTTTTAACTTTTTGCGTTTTTCAGTAATCATAAATTCAGTCATATCTTTTGCTTCTTGAATAATTTCAAGGCATTTTTTTCTACATTCATCATTTTCAATAGTTCGCCATGCTCGATTCACTGTTTCAAATGCAGTGTTAGCTCTTTCTAAATCATCCTGATTTTTATCAGGATGTACTAAGATTGATAGCTGAATAAATAAATGTATATTAATATTTAGAATACAATATAGTTTTAAAAAATGTTTAGAGTACTCACTCTTTTATATTTTTTTTTGGCTTCATCTAAAGGTGTTTCTGGATCAATTTGAAGAACTTCATATGGATTAAGGTTAAAATATGAAGCTCCAGGTCTTAAAAGTCTATCTAATTGCTGTTTAGGAGTTAATACTGAATCACGTTTCTCTATTTCTTTCACCTACAAATAGATTTTATAAATAATCATAATTCAAAAAATTTATTATTTAACTATAAATTATTGAAATAACAATATAAAATTGCCTTTATTGTATATAACATATTATGTATTAACCTACAATTTATTACAATAATAATGTTTACTAAACCCTTTTTTGATTAATTTATACATTTTAAATTTACATGATACATATTTAATAATAATGCAAGACTAGATTTTTTTGTGTGTTAATTTAAATCATAATATTTATTAGATATGATAAAATTAGAAATAATAACACAAATGCAACATATAAAATATATTTGACAAGTTGCAGCATCTCAATTCTTGGTACAAAAGATGGTCAAAATTATTTGAAATAATTTATAAAAAAACTTAATAGAAGTTAAAAAAAAAATTGTTTAGGAATAAAAAAAAGAGTATGTTACACCAGATTTTTTGTAACATAGTTTTTATGTAGTTGTACATCAATAATTATATATAAATTTTTTCCAATAGAAATATGAGATCTATGAGTTATAATTACAAGGAAATTTATTGAACAAGAGTTTTGCTAGTATAATTTTTACTTTCTTAACTTACTTCAGTGTAAAACTCATCAAACTCTTCACTTGTTTTCATTAATATTGGTTCCTCAGGATTGTTAGCCATACTTTAAAAAAGTTAATCAAATTAAATTTTTTGTAGGAATTAAATCATTTAAACTTGATGTTACAGTACAAATTGTCACAGAAATATATTTTATTTAAGTTTAATATCTTAAATTCAAAGAAAAAATATTATGCTTTTATATCAAATAGGAATATTAATCAAATATACACAACAAAAATGATTTAGTACTATTATCATTGGTTATTGAAGATTTAATATACCGTGTAGTTGGTTACTACAGTTTTCTTAAATGGCTTTAGTTAATAACTTAATTTTCGTCATAAATTTTAGATCATTATTAGTGATGGGAATTTCGGGTCAATCGAACGATCCGGATCGTTTGGATCGGATCGTTCAAATGACCCGTTCATATAACTTGTTCTTTCGTTCATTTCTTACGATCGGTCACGGTTCTTATCAATTACTCCTTACTATGGTTTTCCTGAACGAGTCGTTCAAATTCGCATTTTCACCATGTAACATTACCGTAACATCAGAATTTTTACTGATAATACACTTGTATAATCGGGTTATATATTATTTTTTCAAATACAAATTACTTGAAATAACATAATATGCTGTTATACACGAATATTTTTGTATAGAATAAAAACAAATAATTTATACTAGTGGATGAGTTGCGGTACATAAATCCATAAAATTTGTTTCTATAATAAGCGAAATCATTTAAATTATTTGTTTTCATATGTGAGTTTTATAGAGAAATTAATTCACCTAAATCAGATATTACAATTTACAGCAGCTATGACCAGATTATAAAAGAGTGAGGTGGTTTAATACCTCTCACAAAAATTATATTAGTCTAATAGTCAATTTTTGTCCTAGTTGCTAAATTCAATAATTCATAGACCTATTTTCGCTTATAAATAATTATATGAATGTAATATTTATGAAATAAATAGCTATATATTGATAATCAAAATTGTTNAACTATATATTGAAAATTCAAAATTGTTCTTCAAATGAACAATATAGTAGGATATTTGAAATAATCTAACTGTATAAAACCTGCATGATTATGTTAGTAGAAACATGTCACAACTTTGAAAATTTAGTCTGCAGACCAGCAATAAAAATGTTTTTATCACAAACCAAATAGTGTTGCTTTTAAACTCTCATTGGCAATAAGTATTTTTTTATTTAATTTTTTAAGAAAACATTATAAGTATATACTTATAAAGAATATATTCTTCGTTTTTTTTTTAAATTTTTATATTATAAGAATATAAGGTTAGGCATAGGTTTTAACCGAAGTGCAGGTAAACGTTCAGTAAATGAACGAATCATGAAACAGTGTGTCCGATATATTGCGTGAAACGAACGAACGAATGAACGTATGAACGATATCTATTTTTTTTGCGATCCGGATCAACTCGTTCACTGATATGACCCGTTCGTTCGTGAACGATCCATCACTAATCATTATTCATAATCTAAGGCACAGTAACTGTGATTCACAGATGTAGATAATAAACAAGATTGCGAACTGACCTAATAGTTCATATTAGCGAATGAAGCCATTTTTTCTAAGGCCAAATATTATTAGTCTATACTTCGTGTATAATTTTTTATTATCTAATGAAAGAAGTTGATAATACATTTTTTAATTTGATAATAAAAAATTTATACTTCATAAAGTAATAATATTACTCTATATTGTACGAAGTAAAGGTACTGACATATTCAGATGGGCTTATGAATATAGGATATAGTGCAAAATATTGTTTAGCCTAAAAGAAAATGGGTCCAGCAGTTTTTATAAGTTAGCAATTTAATTTATCATCTAAATCTAATCTGTACTCCACTAATTAATTCGAGAAATCTCTTATTATGTTTTTTTAATTAAATATTTGTTTGCTAAAATTTTACACGACATACATAAACTTATTGCTCAACTATCAACGCAATGTTTTGAAACAAAACAAAATATATCTTTTTAATTTTATAAGATAATATATTAAGTTCAATATAATTTTTTAAATATTAATATAAAATAGATATATTAATTTTCAAAAATATAATTTGGTCCCATTCTTTTAGAAATTGTATCAACTTAAACGTTTTTATTGAAACTCAATATATTTATGTTATTATATATTATATTTTTACCAGCTTACAAATTAGAAAATTATAAAAACATTAAGACTAAAATCAATGTAATTCACTGTAGTATTAGTAATTTTAAAGATAATCAGGACTAAGAACCAAAAATATTTTGGTTTTCGCACAATTTATTTTTAAATCAGTAAATTAGTTTATCTATAATGAATTTGTTTTATAAGCACTTTGATAATACTCTTGGTTTTTATTTTTATTAACCTTATAAATATATAAAAAAAATTCAATATTAGTCAACTTACTAGATATGGTAAAATTTTTCAAAAATCATAAATTGTTATGGTTTCTAGTACTGATTTCATCAATAAATTACAAAGTACATTAAAAGATTAAAGAAATTGAATTTTAATTATCTCAAAACCTAGTTATTTATCTATATAAAAATGTTAATGGTGCTACATTATTTTATTACATTAAAAATTTAAAGAAAAATAATATCCCAACAATTTGCTTTCTATAAGTGATTGGACACGTACATAAAAATTGAGGTTTCTGTTGAAATATGTCAATATTTTATCAAATTTTTCTTTTTGCATAATCTCATGGTAAATCTAGAGTAAGTCCACTATTTTGATTCCAGACTACTACTTAATTTTTAATATTAATACTTACTGTTGAATTATGAATATGAAATTTATATCTATTAAATAATACAGTAATAAGAGAGTATAGGAGGTTTTGATCCCTATGAGTGACCTTAAAGTCAATACTATTAGAATTCTAAGGAGGTAATTTGTATAAATATAACATACTAGACATTTGTATAAAAAATTGAGTAGCTGTGTCTCCAGCAAGACAGTAGACACTGACACTCTAGATGCAATATTTGAAAGGTGTTACCTAAATTTAAGAAATTGGAAAATTATTTAAATTATTTAAACAAATCTTAATTTTAATATTTTTTTAAAAATCCGATTCAAATAAATACATTTAACATTTAAAGACAGTAAAGAAACAAGAGTTCTTATTATAGTTTAAAATTTAATTTTATAAAATATATATTATAAAACAGACATACTAAATTAATTAATATATAAATGTTTAGAGTTTAGAAAATGCATTTAAATACTATTTTAAACTCAAAAATTGAATTACTATTTTGGATTTTAAGAAATGATTTATTATTTTGACAGAATAATTTATCCAAAATTTTTTTTTATAATATGCAATATTAAAAACCATACTACTAGAAAAAAATTTATTTTATTAATTTAAAAAATCAAATGAAGAAACATCATCAAATTGTTGTTGTTGTTGCTGCTGCTGTTGTTGTTGTGTTTGACCTCTATTTTGAATACCACCTTGTTGCATACCCATCATTTGTTGTCTGTACTGGGGCTGCTAGAATAAAAAAAAAATTTTAAGATAATATTTTTAAGTAAATTAAATATTATACTTGTTGTAGTAGGTGCCTCAATCCAGGGTTACTAGACATAACCGGTCTCATTTGCATTCTCTGTTGAGGTGGATTATTACCCATAATTTGTTGATTAGATTGATTTCCTGGAATCATATGCCTCTGTTGCTGTTGATGCTGTTGTTGCTGCTGAATGTGAAACTGTTGATTTCTCAATTTATTTTGTTCTTCTTGCTGGTGCTAAAAAAGAAAAAAATAGATTAAGATATTTGTAGTTTCATAAATATTAATTACTTCAAGTTGAACTTTTAATATGGTTTCTTGCATCTGAGCATGTTCAAGATTTTGTTGCATTTGAGGTACATTCATCTGGTTACGAATCTGTTCAGTAATAAATAAATATAATAATGTCTTAAGTAGGAAATTCTGTACAATACCTCAAGTTGAGATTTTAATATGTTTTCTTGCATTTGAGCCTGCTCTAAACGTTGTTGCATCTGTGGAATATTCATCTGGTGACTCTGAATCTAAATATGTGAGGAAAAACTATACTTTTAAGTTCATAAAATGTTTTATTTTTTAAAAGTATGAAATATTTGATAATATTATTTTATAATAATTAGTAATTATTATATTATTTATAATAATTTAATTCAGTGTACATTTTATTCATAACAAATGATTTTCCATTGATACATTAATAATAGTAAATAAGTACACTAATTGGGGGTATGTGAGGTACTCAAGTAAAAGGCACAAAAGGGAGAGGAGAAAATATATTTTAATTTTTTTTTTAACTGTAAGATAACAGTTAATTTTAGATGTTTTGTTTTTTCTTTATTGCACTATGTTTGAGTACAAAAAAATAATTTTAAGTTAACATTTATTAAAATTTCTATATATCTTTTTTAAGATGTACAGATGAATATAACATCTACGTAAATAAAGTATTTCTAGTTATTATGTTTATAACTGTAGGCATATATATTACTGTTGTTGTTAATATATAATAGCATTATTTATTATTTTACTAATTTCCTTAAAACTGTATGACAATTATAGTGTCACTGTTTTGTCATAAAAAAAAAAAAAACACTTTTTTAGTTTATTAATTTTAAAGATAAAAAATAAATTAAATTATAAATATAAATTTATTATAAGAATAAACTAAACATTGTAGGCTACAAATAAAAAGGAAAGAAATCATTTTTAAGTGTTATAAATATCCTAATATTTTTCCTTATAATATTAACTCTATAGCATTCTTATCTTGCCTCAAATTTCAACAAAAAAATTTTTTTTTTCATATACTCTTAATTTTTTAAATATTTCTATTGGTATAATCATTGTATAGTTTATAACAAATTTAAAAGTTAAATAGTAGAGATACACTGTCAGTTCTTTTTTAACGCATAAATCATGTAAAAATAGTTGTATAAAATGATGAATATTAGAGCTTTTGTACTTCAGTAACATCTTAAATTTAAAAATCATATTCTTCTATTCTTTAACCATAATGAAATAATCCATTTGAAACTTACCGGCTAAAAAATCAAAATTGCACCAATTAAATTGAGGTTTATTATGCATTTTTAAATAATTTATTGTTAAATAATTATCTTACTTCCATTTGAGATTTATACTGTAACTCTTGTGCCTGAGCTGCCTCTAAAGTTTGTCTTAGCTGTTGTATTTTAGCTAAATTTTGTTTTCTGGCTAATTCTATATTATGATCACTGTATTGTGCCTGAGAGGGTCGAATTCCTACATTCCCCACAGGAACATTTGTCTAAAGTTAAATAATATTTTTACAATAAATTTTTTGTTTTAATTTAGTGTGATTATATTAAAAAAATTTTCATATAAATTTACTTGTAAAGGTATATTTGGATTGTTTCCTGTTTGAACACCACCTTGAGTACTGCCAGGCATCATTTGAATACCGGGTGCATTATTTGGGACTTGAGGACTTTGTGGAATAAAATTTGTTCCCATCAAGTCAGCTAAAAAATATATTAAGAGGAATTTTAGTAATCTGTTTTTAATACATCCTATTTAATCAAATGTTTCAGAAAATCAAAATTTACCTAAATTGGATTGTGATTGATTTTGTAATGTAGCAGCTAGAGTACTATTAGGAATTAAACCTGACATTTGATTTGATCCCACTTGAACATTTGGTATACTATTTCCAGGAGATAACTGCATTTGATTTGGCATACCTCCTTGATTCATTCCAATAGTTCCCTAAAAATTAATTGCTTATTATAGATTAATAGTTAAACATAAAATAAAATTTTTTTATTTATTTTTTATGTAAAATATATTACTTTATTTAACTATTTTAATTAGTTTAAATATTTCAATTTATTATTATTTTGAAAATTACAAAACATCGACAAAAAGACTTTTAATTAGCATTTTTTTTTTAAGAAACGGTATCTAAAATAAATACTATTTAATTAATATATATTCAAATGATGGTGACCATAAAATTTTTTTATATTGGATGCTATAATTCATTGAATCTAAAAAATTTGTTATTTTTGTTCACCACAACTGGCTTTTGTAATTAGGTCTTTATCATACTATTTTTATGATACATATTAAAATTTATAAAAATATCTAATTACTAGGCTTTGCCTAGCTGGTGCTCCGCCATAAACCAGGTGCACTCCGGACCTTACGCACCTATGGCGCATTAGGCTCTTCGGGCTGTTCTTACAAGTAGGCCACTGATTACGGCAGGAGTACCCAACCCAACCTGTCACATAAAATTTGTTACAAAGTGTAAAAATTGTAGGAATATGTCCTACCACAAAGAAAAAGATTGTTGGTATGGTAAAGCATACTATAATAATAAAAAATTAATTTTTCTATCACACAGTGCTTATTTCTTTATACAACCTATTCATTAATTTTTCTTAGATACTTGAATTAATAAAAAAAATAAACAAATTACCTAATAAAACCATGATTTTTATTTTTTTCATAACTTTTGTTAACACATATTTTAAATTTTTTTGAAAAAAAAATCTGTTGTTTGTTTTGAATCCATTTTTATTAATAAAAATATTTCTTTTTATACAGTGTATATCTACATAATAAACACTTCCAAAATAAGTGATAACATTAACAGGAGAACTGTGTGGGAGTTAAATTTTGCTCCACAAGACAACTATATTACTAACATTTCATAAACCCATGTTATTATCGATAACAAAAAAATAACTTTTTCTAACGATATTATACATTATTACATTGCTTGATAAAATATTTATATAACTCAGAAAATGGGGGGGACTAGTACACCTCTCAAAAAACGCCACTGTACACAATGGACCAATAAGTCAGAGTGCATGGACATTATTTCCACTTCACTAATAACTAGAACAAAAATCTTGTTACAAGGTAATGAACCATGTGTTGTATTTTTCTGACTTTCAATTTTTGGAGACAACTAAATTGATTGGTGCCATAGCAGCATTATCTATGTACAAGTTATAATATTATATAAGTGGGTTATTGTATATCTGCATGTAGACAAAAATGAATATTTATGTACAATTCTTGTTTACACAGGTGGATATTTTAAAAATTATTTTATCATTTATTAATTTGTTTGAGTGATTAATGTATATAACACCATAAATATAAATAAAATTATTCTTTTTTTAAGAGAAGTAGTACCTCCTTTACCATTCTGTTAACACACTATTGTTATATTTTATAGATTAAAAACAAGTCACTCCAAAAATCAATTATCAGTTTATCCAAAGGTCATCAGACAATAAAAAAAAATTGATTTTTAGTATTATAAAATATGAAGTTAGGTCTGAAAGGATTAAGTTAGATTCAATTGAAATTGAATCCTCAACAAATTTGAGTTTCAATTTAAATACGTACATTAAATTTTGCATTAAGTTTTATTGAAAAATACTTGTCTCAATAAAATAAAATAAATAAAAATGAAAGGTCATATGTTCCATTTTTAAATTAATTTAAACAAATTTCTCAATTTTTGCTTAAAAACTTTTGTTGAATTTTGAGCTTTATTGAAAATGATAAAACTACCACATTTAATACAATTAGAAAATTAATTTATGTCAGTTGCAGTAATATTTACAATCTTAAATCTAAGTAAATAATGTAGATACTAACTATGTCCCTAAAATTAATTATAAGAAACATACATAAACGGTAAAATATTTTCAAAATTTAATTTATGAGTATAAAAAATACTCATAGGTGAAATAAACCACATTTATCAATGACATTTATTGTGTTAAGAGTGAATTCTAGTTAATAATATGAGAAAATTACATGTCAAGTATCATAAGAAGTAATAACATATACTTTCAATTGTATAGTTAAAGATAGTTTATTAATTTATTTTCGCTCAACATATGAACTGAGTTCTATTTCATTTGGCATCCGTCCAATTGTAACATCAAATCTATCTTGAACACTATTTAACACTTTAGCATCTGTTTCTTCACATATAAATGTTATAGCAAGTCCTTTTGTACCAAAACGTCCTGCTCTTGCTACCCGGTGGAGGTACGTATCTGTATCTTCTGGCATATCATAATTGATGACAATGTTAACACGCTCAATATCCATGCCACGACCAAATAAATTAGTGGCCACCAAAATTCGTTTTTGGAAATCTTTAAACTCTTGGTAAAACTTAAGACGATCTTGTTGCGACATACCACCATGCATTGCAACAGATGGAAAATTTTGTTCATTCAACAATTCTGTTAATACAACACATCGCTGAACAGATTTCACAAATATAATCACCTAATGACAAATAAATGGTTTTAATTATTTAACTATAATACATTAATATATTTTAAGCGCACCCTCAAAGGGTAAAATGAGTTATATTGATTTTATAAATAATACCTGATTAAATTCTAATTCATCTAAAAGATCAAATAGTTTTTTATTTTTTTCCTTCTCTGTTAATTTTACATAATACTGTTGAAGTCCATGTAATGATAGTTTGGCATCATCATCAACATATACTTCTAATGGTTGCTGCATGAATTTTTTACAAACTGGACGAATATCTTTACTAAGTGTAGCACTGAACATCATAACTTGCTTATTAAAAGGTGTATTCTTAAATATTTCTTGAACATCACTTCGCATATGTAAAATCTCTAACATTTTATCACATTCATCCAAGATAAAATGCTTCAGATTATTAAGGACTAATTTTTTTTTTCTGATAAGTTCTAAAATACGGCCTGGCGTACCAACTACAACATGTGGCTTGTTGTTCTTTAATGTATCTTCATCTTTCGTAATTGGTACACCACCAAAAAAAACACTGACCTTGACTGCTGGTAAATATTTAGTAAAGCGTTCAAATTCTTTACTTATCTGAAATGCCAATTCTCTTGTGTGACAAAGAACTAATGCATAAACTTCACTTTCATAAACCTCTAACTGTTGTAATGTTGATAATACAAATACAGCAGTTTTTCCCATACCAGATTTAGCCTGGCACAAGATGTCCATGCCCAGCATAGCCTGAGGAATACATTCATGTTGTACTTCAGATGGATGTTCAAAACCACAGTCAACAATTGCTCGTAAGATTTCTGGCTTCAATAAGAAATCACGGAAGCCTGAACTATGTATTGACACATAATTACCTTTAACTTCTTTTTTGGTTTGTTTTTTATCATCGTTTTCTACAGTTTCATTTTGTTCGTCTTCTTCGTAATCCAAAAGATCATCTGCATCGGCCATTATTTGTGAGTTCCTGGTTAAACTTTAAACGCAAAATAAAAAACTATGATACCTTAATGGTTTTCAATGAATAATAAATATATATAATCTTGAGTTTTTTATGAAAAACCAGGAAATTAAACGGCATAGACGACGCGTGTTTATATCGGCCGGACAACAGACATTTTAGAGGCATCCGGCATCGGCGTTTAGAATCAGTGCGCGCATTTTCAGGGAATGTAAACAGAACTATAGTAATACCAACTTACAAGACCAATAAAGCATTAAATAATCTAGTTAAAATATTCTAACTTAGATAGCAGCACACGTATTGCTTTTTCTTTTAAAATGTACTGCTTTGAATAACTGAAAAAATACTTAATAGAAAAGAATTTAATCAAATAATTTAATTAACGTCTAGTTTTATTTTAGAACATTCGAAGTACCCTGAAAATATATTTCAGCGTCCATTATATAGAAGTTAACATATCCAAGGATCAAAAAAATGTTAAAAAATCCGTCGTGGGGTCGTGGCACAGTGGTGTTGTAACATAGTTGGATTAAGTATAATATCTGACAGTGATTAAAATCACTATCATAAAAAAATGCTTTAATGCAAATTTTTAGATAGTGTTTAATTTTAAAAAATTAGTGGATTATTTCAAAAGCTACATGATCTCCTAGATAAAGATCTAAGATAAACTATGTCGAATGAAAAAGGGATATAAATATTATTTCTCATAAAAAAATTGTGTTGATCCATACACTTTTCAATAAGTTATAGCATTATAAAGTTAAAAATGTAAAAAATAAAATCGAGAATTTTCACATAAAAATAGCATTCGGTAGCCATTTTCACTGTGAAGACAAAATAAAGTCCGAAATTTTTTTTTGCCATAATAAAGTTATTACATTAGCATTAATTTAAGATATATATAAAAGTGTCAAACTTTCCAGAACACTTTCAAAAGTTGAAACAGTAAATTTTTTGTAAAAAAGTTGTCATTTTGAATCTTCTCTGTGGCCAAGTAAAGGGTCAGATTTACAAAAATAAGTATAACCAAATGATAAGTAAAGACACCATGCATCTATAAAAAAAGAATTATATCGATTTTTGAAAAAGTTATGGTAGTTTTTTAAAAAATGTCAAGAATTAGCGATTTTTAAATTTATTATTTTTTTGGAGATTTCCCCCATTTACGGGGAACAAGGGAAATTTTTTTAATTTTTGAAGGTAATGTCTTCGACTAGATACAATTTGTGATTTTTCGATACATCGTTGAAAGAAATCGGTTCTTTGAGAGCTGAGAAAAAGTGGTAACAAACACAAAAAAAATCACTGGTTGATAATAACTTTTGGACTAGTATTTCTGAAGTTATGAACATTTTTATACCTTGATAGAAGTAGGAGTAAGACGGAGAATATTTTTAGTGATAAAAAGAATAGTTCAGAGCATTAATTTGCAGTTATTACTTTAAACTATTAAATACTTCAGAAATACTGGTCCAGAGGTTTTTATCAACAGTTTTTTTCTTAAATTAAGAATTTAAATTAATTAGATAATTAGCTAATAAGTTAGTTAATCATGTATATACAGTTTGGAAAATCAAAGTTGACACTCTTATAAGGGATGTAAACTTAACTAATACTAATTAAATTACAATTTTATTTATAACATCCAAAAATTTGCCTAAGGGTTGGGTTGGGTTTTGAAATCGACTAAATCTCAACATTAGATTATTTATTAAAAAATTATTATTCACATGTTTTCTTAAATACATAACTAAGGAATAAGATAGGTGGGCTTAGATACTAGGAAAACTTAGCCCTTAGAAATTTCAATAAGTTTCTTAAATCTATGTTTTATCTGCATTATTATTTTATGTCAATATAATACATAAGGGTCTTTTAGTTATAGATTATTTAAACACTAGTAAACATTTAAACAAATTACTGCCTCGAGACATATTTAAATAAAGGAATTGAATTTTTATTGTACGACCACAAAAATATAATATACACAATGGTCCACAATGTATTAAAAAATTTTAAACTTAAAATACTACATTTTGTTATTATATTAGCTTCGATGCGAAGCTGAGAAGATATTAATTTTAGTATGATGTTTTTTTTTTTATGTCTGTTGCCACTTTTTCTCAGCTCTCACTGGACCGATTTCTTTCAAAAGTACGTCAAAAGATCACAAATCGTATCTAGTTGGAGACATTACCCTTAAAAATTGAAAAAAATTCCCTCGTTCCCCGAAAATGGGGGAAATATCCAAAAAAATTACAAATTTAAAAATCGGTAAATTTTGTCATTTTTTTCACTTTTTTTTCTTAAAACTTCCATAACTTTTTGAAAAATAAACAAATCAACATAAATTTTTTTCTACTAAAACCTTAGATATTTCCCTTTCGATTGATATCATTTTGTTGAAAATCTAACACTTAACCTGCTCATGAGGAGGGAGTTAAAATAGTAACTTTTTTACAAAAACTAACTTTTTCAACTTAATTTTTGAAAATGTTCCGGAAATACTGCGTCCTTTAAACATATATCAAATTAAAGCTTATTTTATGTACTACAAAATGAAAAAAAAAAATTTGTCCCGAGTCCCGACAATTTATCTTCTGCATGTAAACGGCTGCCGTAGTTAAAAAAACGCTATTTTTGTGTTAAAATTTTCGATTTTAAATTTTCAACTTAAAAATGCTATAACTTTTTGAAAAATGTATATATCAGCACAAATTTTTTTTTTCTAAATACATTATAAGTACATCTTTCATTTGACATAATTTTTATTTTAATTGGACAAATTCCCCTTATATAGGGGGCATTCAAAACTTGAAATATTGTAAAAAACATAGATCTTTTTCAACTGAACTTTTGAAAATGTTCCGGAAATACTGCGTCCTTTAAACATATATCAAATTAAAGCTTATTTTATGTACTATAAAATGAAAAAAAAAAATTTGTCCCGACACTTTATCTTCTACATTTAAACGGCTGCCGTAGTTAAAAAAACACTATTTTTGTGTTAAAATTTTCGATTTTCGATTTTAAATTTTCAACTTAAAAATGCTATAACTTTTTGAAAAATGTATATATCAGCACAAATTTTTTTTTTCTAAATACATTATAAGTACATCTTTCATTTGACATACTTTTTATTAAAATTGGACAATTTCCCCTTATATAGGGGGCGTTCAAAACTTAAAATATTGTAAAAAACATAGATCTTTTTCAACTGAACTTTTGAAAATGTTCCGGAAATACTGCGTCCTTTAAACATATATCAAATCAAAGGTTATGTTATATACTATCAAATGAAAAAAAAAAATTTGTCCCGACATCTTATCTTCTATGTGCAAATGGCTGTCGAAAATTTAAAAAAAAATGTAATGTTTGCGATAAAAATTACATTTTATCGGGATGTTTTTTGTACTTAAAACTGCCATAACTTTTTCAAAAATGAACAAATAAAAATAATATTTTTTTGTATTGAAACCTTAGATATTTCCCTTTCATTTGATATAATTTTTTTTGAAAATCTAACAATTATTCTGCTCACTGGGGGGATTTAAAATAGTAACTTTTTTACAAAAAATAATTTTTTCAACTTAATTTTTGAAAATGTTCCGGAAATACTGCGTCCTTTAAACATATATCAAATTAAAGCTTATTTTATGTACTATAAAATAAAAAAAAAAAATTATCCCGACGACCTATCTTCTATGCGCAAATGGCTACCGTATTCAAAAATATGCTATTTTAACAAATTTTTTTTTTTTAAATTTCAGTATTATTTTTCATTAAACCAATGATGATAAATACATTACAAAACACGATACATTTAAAAACATAGTCGTAGGGATAAATGATTTAAACTTCCAATTAATTTTTTTAATTCATTAATCTCATATGTATATAAATGTTTTTTTTAAAAGAGGAATTTCAAATTTAGATTACCAAAAATTTGAGCGACTTATGCCNTTTAGACTATGTTGAGATTAAATATTTTGCTCATGAATTATAAAGATCCTATAGGAATCTATCATCAAAACCAGTATAGACTATGTTATTGTGACATCATATTAATACACCAGTATGACATATACGCGGCCACATTATATACAAAATGTATGTATTAAAATGCTTTTAACTCAATAAACACTTATCCTTTATTATTATTTTAATATTTTATAGCATAAAAAAAAAAAAAAAGATTATTTGATAGCTTGATATTTGGGTTTAGGTCCTATGCTTTCCCGCAGGGAAATCCGCAAGTATTACGGGCCTAACAACCCCGCGGACCCTAGTTATTTCAGTGGGGGTGGCAACACGTACCACTGCTCTTAGCCGGTCATGACTTTGGTTAGTTGGGACTGGTAGGCCTGGACATACCCGCTTGCTAACAGCGAATAGGACCCCCTAATCCAGCCATACCAAGTGAAAGGGTTGCTAACTTGTCACAGGGTAGTTAGCCGAAAGGTAAAGTGACCATTGAGATCCTCTATGGCACCTGGCGCACCATAAAGTATACAGACTTATCACAGTATCGAGCTCTGCTGTGACGGACCTTTATTTCTCGACTTCTCGTGGGAACTATATGGATAAAAACATAGAAAAACCACAAAACAACGAACTTGTGACGATCAGGGATCCTACGGACAACCTGTCGGAACAAGATCGTGAACTGGCGACTCTTCGCAGAAGAATCGCCGAACTTGAAGGTCTCAATGCCAACAACGGGACACTTGGTGAACCGTCTACTAGCAAAGAGACAGCAACGTCAGCAAATGTAGACCAGGAATCGCAAGATCAACTGGGAACAGTAGCTGACAAAATCGAGAGTCTAAAACTTAGACCCGAGAAACTGAGCGGCAGTCAGAGGCGCAAGCTGAAGAGGAGCCGAGCAATCATGGAGGGACAGAAGAACCTATCAAAGGAGGGAGACAAGGGAACCGATGACTTGAAAAAGTCAAAGGGAACCGAAGCTCAAAAACCTACATGTAAGAAAACTCATTGGGTACCGACCTACAGGGACGTGGTAACCGATGATAAAAAAGTGGCTCTGGTCCTCGCAGGCTACCCCACTAACAAGTTGACCACAGAGCAGGGGCTACTCATTGAGTCTNACAGGAGGGGCTAAATCTAAGGAGTTTTAAACTGTTTCATAAACAAGCAGATAAACCAAGAACTTGCATTTTGGTTAATAATAAAGTTAAAGCCAGCCTGATACTTAATCTATCAAGTGCAGACTTGACTACTATTAAAGTAACACTAAATGATGGTAAAAATATTATAGTAGCTTCAGGATACCTACCATATGAGGTCACAGACCCAGGTAGGGACCTAACTATGCTCTTTAATTATTGCAAAAATGAAAAATTAGAACTAATCCTAGGTATGGATGCTAATGCACACCACACTATTTGGGGGAGCAGTAACATCAACCAAAGAGGAGAGGTTATAATGGATCTATTGCTGACTACAGACCTAAGTATACTGAACAGAGGTAGTGAACCTACTTTTGTTATCAGGAACAGGCAGGAAGTCATTGATCTGACAGTTTGTTCAAAAGGGTTACTTCAAAAGATAAAAGGGTGGAAAGTGTCCTCCGAACCTTCTCTTTCTGATCATAGGCACTTACGATTCACTTTGGAAATTAACAAAGTTGAGTCGGAGTACTATAGGAACCCGAAAAGAACAAACTGGGACAACTACAGGGCAGATCTCTCTCGTGACCTGAATAACCTACAGTTTAGATTGGGGTCGAGACAGAGTACTGAAAGGGCTGTAAATATGCTACAGGACTCCATTGTCTCGGCTTACAAAGAAAACTGTCCTTTAATAGAAAGGAAAGGTACAGGGCAGGGTGTAGCTTGGTGGAATGCTAACCTGTCTAAATTAAGAAAGAGTTCACGTAAGCTCTTAAATAAAGCAATGAAATCAGGTTTGGAACAACACTGGGAATCCTATAAGGACGCTTAAAGGAACTACAAATCTGTATTGAAAAAGTCCAAAAGAGAAAGCTGGAAGAAGTTCTGTGGGGATATACAACAACTCCCTATAACAACTAGACTCCTGCGATCACTAAGGAATGGACCAAACAAAACTGTCGAGGCAATACTACTGCCAGACGGAATGTTCACCAATAATGATAATGAAACATTATCACTTTTGATGAACACACATTTTCCTGACTCTGCAATTAACAACAGAGAACAGGAACATGATGCACAGGACAAACGTGTGACCTGTGCTGATTGGAGACTAGCCAGGAAAGTGATAACACCAAGTGGAATAAGATGGGCAATAAAAGCCTTTGGCAGTTTTAAAGCTGCAGGCTGTGACGAAATTTTCCCTGCATTTCTGCAACAAGGGTTAGATATAATAGTCCCCCATCTCTGCAAAATATTTAGGGCATGCCTTCCCTATGGTTATCAATCAGAAAGCTGGCGAAAGGTTAGGGTGGTGTTTATACTCAAACCTAACCGCACTAACTATTATGAAGCAAAATCCTACAGGCCAATAAGTCTTACTTCATTTCTTGTTAAGACTATGGAGAAACTTATTGATAGGTACATCAAGGAAGGGCCTCTTAAGGAGAACCCTTTACTTTACTGCTTAACTACTAAGATAGGGAAAGCTGTAGAAAATAAAATGTATGCAGTAGGTATATTCCTGGACATCGAAGGGGCTTTTGACAATACTCCCTCCGATGCTATGTGTGAATCTGCACAACAGCATGGAATAGAACCAGTTACAGTAGAACTCCAATTATCCGAACTCCGATCATCCGAATCGCCGATTATCCGAATCACTTTCAGAAAAAATCAGAAAAAAATTTGTCCAAAGTCCGCGGCGTCAGTGTAGGCACAACACGTGGTAAGAGTTCCCACTCCAGTTCCGGCGCATTGCAGTCACCTGTCATTGTTTATTTTGATTAGTCAGTGAATGGGTCCCGGTCCCCATTAATTCGGATAATTGGAGTTCTACTGTATTAATAAGTGGATAGAAACCATGCTTAAGGAACGCTCCATTTTGGGACAGCTCAATGAGACCAAAGTAATCAAGAGTGTTAAACAGGGATGTCCACAAGGCGGGGTTCTATCCCCCTTTCTATGGTGTCTAGTATTGGACTCGCTTATTAGAGAGTTAAACAAATATTGTTATACACAAGCCTATGCGGATGACTTAGTTATAGCAGTGGTGGGTAAATTCCCAGACACTATTATAGACTTAGCACAACAGAGACTTAACACTATACAGATATGATGTAGTAAGTACGGTCTATCTGTTAATCCAAATAAAGCATAGGTTGTTATGTTCACTAGAAGGAGAATAGGACTAGACAGTCTTGACACTTACTCTAAATGGACAAGAAATTAGCTTAAAATCGGAAGTAAAATACTTAGGTATTATCATGGATAGTAAGCTAAAATGGAAATCACATGTTGAGTCAAGAATCTAAAATGCAATGTCCACAGTGTGGATATGCAGCAGAGTCTTGGGAAAGACATGGGGTCTTAAACCAAGAGTTATGTATTGATTGTACACTTCAGTGATTAAATCTAAGATATTGTATGGTGCCCTAATCTGGTGGACCAGAACAGCAATTGTTACAGCTAGGAAAGAACTTAGTCGCATACAGAGAATGGCTGCTATGGCCATCACTGGAGCATTAAGAACTACACCAATGGTAGCATTAGAGGCACTAATTGGATTGCCTCCTCTGCATCTAGAGGTGAAAGCTCACCCCAAAGCTACAGTACTAAGATTCCACAACTTAGGTATGTGGACTTTGGAGAGTGATACAACAGAACATGGTAAAATACTAAAAGAGATAGACAAGGGCTTTTTAGAATACCCCTTGGACTATATCAAACCGGTTCTTAAGAATAACATTCCCTACAAAGTGGAGATCACTACACGTAGAGAATGGAATATTAACCACCTGACTGACAAAGGAGGATTTGTGATATATACAGATGGATCCAAAAAATCAGGAAAGGTAGGTGCTGGAATTTGGGGCTTAAAGCCACGAATAAATGTCAGTATGTCATTGGGCACAACACCCTCNATGCCATGAATAAATGTCAGTATGTCATTGGGCACAACACCCTTTGTGTATACCTGCTGGTATACAAAAATAGGAAGATAACTATCTTAAGTGATAGTCAAGCGGCTTTGAAGGCACTCTGTAATGATCAGGTGAATTCAAAGCTGGTCCTCGAATGCAGGGAAACTTTAGAATCACGATCGAGGTTCAACAAAGTTACACTAGCGTGGGTACCGGGACACAACGGTGTCACTGGTAATGAGAATGCTGACTTTCTAGCCAGGAAAGGAGCAGAGAACACCTTTGTTGGACCAGAACCAGTGGTAGGACTCACTGAGCAATTGTTCAAAGTGCTACCCAAGAATTGGTGCAGAGAACAACACAGGAAAATCTGGAAGTACTTGGTAGTACCTAAACAATCTAAAATGTTTATCAAGACCCCTGGTTTATTGCTGGGTGATCTTAATAGCATGACTAGACATCAGATGAGCACCCTGACTGGTCTATTGACAGGACATGGTTACTTGCTTAAACATCTTAACACAATGGGGGTATCAGAATCATCATTGTGCAGGAAGTGTGGAGTAGAAGAGGAAGACTCATTTCACATCATGTACGAATGTGAAGCCTTGTCCACACTGAGATCAAACTACTTGAATAAACCTTTTCCTGAAAAAGAAGATATTAAAAACCTAAAACCCAAAGAGATACTTAATTTCGCCAGAAAAACAGGACTCTTTGGTTATCTTTAGAGGTGACTTTATGGTTAGTAATGTATTAACACTTTGGTGATAACACTTAAGTGGGTAAACCGAATCAAGACAATTCGGTATGAGGTGCGCACAATGGACCAACAGGTCTGAGTGCATGGGCATTATGTCCACCTCGATAATAACTAAAACTAGGTCCTAAGCTTTAAGGATCATAAGACCCTAACACTAGCACTGTTTACAACTATGACACAAGACTATTAACTAACTTAAAAATACTCTTAATAATAATTTATTATAAAATTTACTTGGCCTTGTCGTAACATAGCCGTGGAAGCTTTTTGATGTTGTATAAGTTTCCGTAGTCTATCAACAAATGCTGCTTGATCATTTGGAATAAAACCTAAGAATGCTTTCCTATCAGATGTATATAAAAGTATCAAGACTTTTATATCACAATTATGTGAAGTTGGAGCACTATTAAAGTGAACACAGCCAGCCTAAGAAAAGAAGAAATAATTTTTTTGAAGTTCTATTAATTAATTAAGCAAAATAAATAATTTATACTTACATAACCATTACTCATAAATTTTGTTAATGATTCTAATGAGTCACAAGGTGTTGGCTGAAAAACAACAGACTTTGAATCTTTTAAATGCGCTCCTCCTATACTTCCAATTAAATGTTTTGGCATTAACTGCATAATTAATTTTTCAGGCCATGTTTCTGCTTTTCTATAGTTATAATATATATATATATATATATATTATTTATCAATCAAACTTAAATAAATTATGAAATTTTACAATTCTGGTTCTCCATTTTTCATAGTAGCTGAAACTGTACATGGTACACTCCTAGTAATTTTTTGTGCATCATTAATACTTTTTGATTTTTCAATCCATTCTAAAGTTCCTGTCCATATGGTTTGTCTACCTGCTCCATTCTGGAGATAAATTTATTTATTTTATCAATTAATTAGTAATATAATCAAAATAAAAATAAGAAAATATAATTTAAGTGTAGAAAAAACTAATTGAAACAGACATGTTTAATATTTAATAATTGAGTTTAATAATTTATATATATATATATATATATATATATATATAATTTTAATTGTCTCCATTTTTAAATTTTTAAAAATCCTGTGGATAGTCAAGAAAATTTTTTGTTTAAATTTTATAAAACTACTTATATCAACAGTCTAGTATGATGGTACAGATAATTGCCTTAGATATCAATTGTTAATTTGTGCTAAAAGGTACTTTTATATAATTAAATATTAAAAAAATATGCTCACATAATAATTGTCTTAAGTGACAAAAATTGTTATTTTTATAATAGAAAATATTGTATTATTTCTAATAATTAAAAATTATTAAATGACTAAGTGCTTATTGTGGTCGCTAAATGAATAGGAAAGGTAATAATATAAACACAAGACAAGAGTAGAAGTTTATAAAAATAAAAATGAAACAATACAATAAGGAAAAGAGGTAAAACTTAATCAACTGTGATATAAATAAGGAAACAAGTGCTATGACAGATAACAGTAACATCAAGGATCAGGAGGCCCATGAATTTAATATCTATTTTGATACATGGTGAAAAATAGTGCCTAATACACATACATACTTACATTTTAATATTTTGTAAAATATTAAAATATAAATGTGAATTATATTTGAAAATTATAGAAAGTAGGGTATTACAAAGGGCAAACATAAGTTAAGTTGCGTTTTGCCATAATTTTTTATCAAGTAGATTCTTTTATCATAGAAATTTTGTGACATCACTGTTTGTACATTACTATCAAGATTTTAACTGTTTCAAACAAATCAAATTATAAAATTTTCATCAGAAAAGGATTCCATCATGGGATGCTACTTTTTTGTTGTCTAAAATGGATATCTGCTCAATTATTAAGTTTATGTGGTAAAAAAATGATAAAGTTGTAAACAATTTCAGGGAAACATGTGAAGTATATAGTGAAAAAGTTATTTTAAGGCAACCTGTTGATAAGTATTGCGATATGTTCAAAAATTACCATATAGATATAGTTGATAGATAGCCCCATGCTGGGAGGCCTTGTTCAGAAAACCTAAAAAAATTAAACGTGTGAACGAAATGATTCAATTGAAATAATGAATAACTATTGTTGAAAATGCTAATACTATGCAAATTTATTTTTGTATTGCTCAAAGCATAATCAAAGATAACCTTAATTATAACAAAGTTTGTTCAAGAAGGGTACCAGGGTTACTGACAGAGGAGCACCAAATGCAAGATTCCAATTCAATTGGTTATGATTTCAAAATGAGAGAAATGAGTTCTTGGACAAAATAGTGACTATTGATGAAACATTCATACTTTAAACCTGAATCAAAAAGGAGTTTAATGGAATGAAAACATACTGTTTCTTCTTAAGCATAAAAAGCATTTTATGTCTATATTTTAATTTAAAAAAAATTCTAAAAAATTCATAATAGATTTATTTAATTTCAAAATGCCACTCATATCAACTTACGCAAAGAAAAATTAATATTATATTTTATATTTTTAAAGATATTGTGTGAATATAATAACAAAACAAACAATCACCCTATATGATATCAATATGAAATTTATGTAACACTCTCTTTTACTAATTTAATAATAAATTTTATTTCAAACCTCTGTAAAGATGTTGTTTTAAAAAATTATACATGCTGCATGTTTGTTTTCAATAATTTTAAAGGAAAATTTGTGAAGCAATTAAGATCCTATAGTTCTATCGCTCATTATTATTTAACTATTACTTGTTGTTGCTGCTGTTGGAGTTGCTGTTGTTGTTGAGCTTGCTGTTGTTGCTGATTGAACATTTGCATGGCTCTTTGTTGTTGTTGCTGTTGCTGAATTTGCTGTTGTTGAATTTGTTGTTGTTGTTGCTGTTGTTGTTGCTGTTGTTGTTGCTGTTGTTGTTGTTGCTGTTGTTGAATTTGTTGCTGTTGTTGAATTTGTTGTTGCTGTTGTTGAATTTGTTGTTGCTGTTGTTGAATTTGTTGCTGCTGATGAAGTTGTTGCTGTTGCTGTTGTTTTTGAACTTGTTGGGTTTGTAGAACTTGTTGATGTTGTTGTACCTGTTGTTGCTGTTGTATTTGTTGAGAAGACACTAAATAAATAATAATTTTTTAAGAATAAAGTAATATTAAAACTTCAAAAAACATATATTTATTCATTCATAAAAAGGGTAAATAAAATCTTTTCAAAATTTTAAAATAGTTATTTTTTTTAGATCTTTTCTTGTGATTCTATAAAAATAAATATTTTTTTAAATTAAATGTTTATATGAATAACAAATTTTTTAAATGCAAATTTCTCTAAAAAAAGTCCAAGTTTAATATAAAATAAATTATTTAATGAATTTGTGCATCTAATTTATGATAATAAATTAGGAAAAATGATATAAATATGTTTAAAAACATGTATACTATTTTATGAAAACATTCAAATTTTGGAGTTTGGTAATTTTATTTTAAGAAGTGATTCAATAATTACAAAAGTTTTAATATTTGAAAAAAAAAATAGTTTTATCGGTGTTGAGTTAATTTAGAAAGAAAATGTACAAACTATCAAGTCTCTGTTGAAATGTTGGTGTAGATAATTGTGCTATTAATGCACTAGCTTGATTAGGTTGACGTTGTTGTGACTGCATCATTTGCCAATTGCGTGCTTGTGGTGGTCTAATAAATCCAGTATTATTAGCCATATTGGTATATTGTTGATTTGGAGTAGGATTTCGTAGCAACTGTTGCTGTTGAACTTGTTGTTGCTGTTGCTGTTGTTGTTGTTGTTGCTGTTGAGCAACAGCGACAGCTTGTTGAACAGCTTGTGCGGCTTGTTGCTGCTGTTGTTGTACTTGATTTTGCATAGCTAACACCTAATACCAACATTTATTGTTAACATATAAAGTATTAATTTTATATATCAATCTTTTAAACGCCTAATATGAACATTAATTTTTTTTTTAATAGATAAAATTTAATTAAAAATAGAATCATTTATAGGGATAAAATATAAGATATTATACTTAAAATGAATTTGTATACAACATACCGTATTATTGGTTCTAAATGGTACAGTGCAAGGAGCAACTGGAGATCCAATATTAACATTATTGGATAATGGACTAGTTAATGAAAGACCTGAATGAGTTGTAGGAGGACAAGGGCTCATTTGTCGCTCTTTTAAACTAAAAATATTGAATAAATATATTATATAATAATACTTAAAATAAAAAATAGAAAAACCTGTATCCATTTAGTAAAATCAAATGTCTTGGATCTTTTGCATAGTTTTTGCTTTGAGATATTTGCAAATCTCCTCCTGCTTTTTCAAACAACTTTAAAAATGTTGGAGTTTTTCTGGCAGATAAAATTGACAAAAGAATTCCTCTCTATAAATAATGACAAAAAAGTCATATAAACTTTTAAATAATATTAAACAAGATAGATAAGTATAATTTGTATTCTAAAATTCTTGGCCATTATGATTTGCTGAGAAAAATATAATAGATAATAGGTATAAGAATAATCTAGACTATTTAAAATTATGTACTATAAATCCAGATATAATTACTACAATACTCTATAAATTATAAATTAACGTGAGATAATAGTTATTGCCAATGTAATTTGAGGAAGTCTTGACGCAATTTCTTTTTTGGCAATATAGAATATTTTGTTTGGAGTTCTTTAAAATACAAATTATAAGAATAATTTTGTTTTAAATCTTAAGTATATAATGTAAGCTATGATTTAATAAAAGTTTTAAGGAAGCAGAATTTTTGGGGCAGTTGTAAGAAAATATGGTAACATAAAAACATATTTAAAGTATTTCTAAAAATGTTATGTTGATATATGCTCTTTTTAAAAAGTTATAGCAATATAAATTTGAAAATGGAAAATAAAATTGAGAATTTTTACTCAAAAATAGTATTTATTATTACTACAGTGGTCATTTATACACAGAAGAAAAATTATTAAGACCAATTATTTTCAAATTACATTAGGGTTCTTCACTTGTAAATGTACAATTAAGAACTATTCATTTTTTAAAGTTCTTTATTAATTTATATTTTGATTCCACATGCAGAGTTAATAAATATTTGTTCTTTGAAAAATTCTCTTGGATAACAATATCAAATTATTTATAATTAATTAAAATAAAAATGGTAATAATTATTTTATGTTAAATGTTTTAACTTTTTTGTAAATAACAGTTGGCATTTGTTAAAATGATATTATATTAAAAATTATGTTATAACATTAAGACTTTATTTAGATACTTTTGATTTTTTGTTATAAACACTATTAAATACAATTTGTTACTATCAGATTAAACAATTTTTTAGTTGAAAACTTGGTGGTGTCACTTAGTGGTAATATATGACATTAAGGTAAAATCAATATAATATGAAGTACATGGATTAAAATCCCAGTACAGGGGGCACAGTTGTCATAGTTGGGTCAAGTATAATGATATCTGACAGTGATTAAAATCATAGTGTTTAATTTTAAAAAACTGGTGGATTATTCCAAAAACTACATGATCTGCTATTTTCCTTATTAATATCTTGATTAAGATAAAGTATGTCGAATGAAAAAGGGATATAAATATTATTTCTCATAAAAAAATTGTGTTGATCCATACACTTTTCAATAAGTTATAGCATTATAAAGTTAAAAATATAAAATCAAGAATTTTATCACAAAAATAGCATACGGTAGTCATTTTCACTGTGAAGACAAAATAAAGTCCGAAATTTTTTTTTCCATAATAAAGTATATTACATTAGCTTTAATTTAAGATATATATAAAAGTGTCAGACTTTCTGGAACACTTTCAAAAGTTAAGTTGAAACAGTAAATTTTTTGTGAAAAAGTTGTCATTTTGAATCTCCTCTGTGGCCAAGTAAAGGGTCAGATTTACAAAAATAAGTATTACCAAATAATAGGTAAAGACATCAAGCATCTAAAAAAAAAAAAACTCAGCAAAGTGGGGACGTAGCATAGTTGGGTCCAGTATAGATCTGACAGTGATTAAAATCCTTATCATAAGAAACGCTTTGATGCAAATCTGTAGATAATATTTAATTCTAAAAAATTGGTGGATAATTACAAAAGCAACACCAACTATTTTCTAAAATATATATCCAGATTAGTAATGATTAGATTCAAAAATATAATATAAAATTTTATATTATATAATTGTTATATTGAATTGTTTTCAAATTATTATTAATTTTGATTTTTAATATGTTAAAAGTAATAATTTTTAACCTACTTTATTTCGTCCTTTAAAGTGAAAGTTTCTAATAAAAAAAAAAAAAATGAATTTGTTACCATAACTTTTAGTTCAACTTGCTAGTTTGAACTTGACATTATTAAATAAAAACAAAATGAAATTTTTAAGATTAATATGCAGTCAGCAAATTTTATAATTACTATTTACAGTAAATTTATCAGAAAAGTTTGATTTTTTTTTACATTATTATCGTAATAGATCACTTAAATAAAAATTATAGTAATCATTTATAATAAATTTTTGGTATTTAAAAAGATTCTACAATAGAAATATTTAGAACTTAATTAATTTAAATGATTTACTTTAACTAAAAGGACCAATAAAAAAAAATATTTACTCAATTGAGCGTATTATAAAATTAGATTATAATTGTAAAAATTTATCTTTAAATTCAGGTGAAACTGAACATTTTTTTTTTTAGATTTGTGTTTTATATAGCAACATGTTATCAAAATATTTGGAATATTATAGACTGTTAGTAACACACACAAATAAAGTTAAAAAATTATTAAATTACTAAGTAAAATCATTTACTTTCGCAGTTGAATACTTTTATCATATCAATTCTAATTTGACAATAAATACATTAAAAATATTAGAAAGGAATCATTTTAATTGTTTGTATGGATAAAGCTGTTTATGGTACTTTTTATTTGATTAAATGATTTTCTTTCAATTTTTGAGGGTAATATCTACAAATAAATACGAATCATTTGACTTATCATTGAAAAAAGTAGGTGAATTGAGGGTTGGAAAAATAAATCGCATCCACAAAAAAAAACACATAGTAAAATATTAACATAAATAAGAAATTTCTTCTCATGAGGGGAGACTACAGTGATGGGATTCTTGATATTTATTGAAGTTAATGAATCTAAATGAGATAAAAATCAAATGATTTGAACATTTTTTTAACTCAAAAAAAAAATGCAAAATGTTATTAGCCACAGACGGATTTGAACCTCGTACCCTAAGCGTGAAAGACACAAGTGTTACCGATTCGGCAACTGTTCATCGTTTTCGTCACATGATATTATTGGCAATTTAAGCTAACTAAAATTTAAAAATTACTTTTTTGACTTTAAAAAAGTAAAAAAATTTTAATAAGCTTTATTTCTTATGTCTTATGAACTTTATTCTATGTCAATTCAATTATATAATATTCATGAAAGTCAATGTTCATTATTAAATTATTAAATTTAAAATTCCCCTTTTAAGATATTTTAAAATAAAATGAAATACAAAACCCAGAATTTTAATACAAAAGTAGCATATTTTTGAATACGGTAGCCATTTGCACATAGAAGATAGGTCGTCTGGACAAATTTTTTTTTTTAATTTTATAGTACATAAGTACATGACATGACCTTTAATTTGATATATGTTTAAAGGACGCAGTATTTCCGGAACATTTTCAAAAATTAAGTTGAAAAAGTTAGTTTTTGTAAAAAAGTTGCAATTTTCAATCCCCCGCAGTGAGCAGGTTAAGATTAGATTTTCAAAAAAATGATATCAAATGAAAGGGAAATATCTAAGGTTTTAGTATAAATAACAATTATGTTTATTTGTTGGTTTTTAAAAAAGTTATGGAAGGTTTAAGAAAAAAAAGTGAAATAAAGTGGAAAAATGACCAAATTTACCGATTTTTAAATTTGTAATTTTTTTGGAGATTTCCCTCATTTTTGGGAAACAAGGGAAATTTTTTCAATTTTTAAAGGTAATGTCTTCAATTAGATACGATTTGTGATCTTTTGATGTATCGTTGAAAGAAATCGGTCCTGTGTGAGCTGAGAAAAAGTGATAACAGCCACAAAAAATCACATCATAGTAAAACTAATACCTTCTCAGCTTGCATCGAAGGTAAAAAAATAAAAATAACTATAAAAAAGGGGTATCTCTAAGGTTGTTCTGAAAAAATTGTTTTGTCGCATTCATTTTTCTAATTTAATAGCTATTTTATAAAAAAAATAACTTTATAGAGATTACAACAAAAGTTAACTTAATAAAAATCATTCAAAGTATCATTATAATATTAACTAAGAATTTTCCTATTAATCACCAATCATTTATTATTTTAATAGTTGAACACTATCTCACATTTATGTACTATAATTAAAAATTACCTACATAATTGAAAAAATTATTTAACTTACTTCATTAAATAAATTTAGTAATTGATCAACACTATGGCCTGCATAAGATTCACATTCCATAACTGGAAAGTTATATGGAGGCGAGTTGCAAATAAGTATACAATGTCTTTGTTTAGCTTCACGTATTTCTTGTAAATCCTCAAAAAACACTAATGCTGTAGCCAAACCTTCCCCCATATAAGCATGAGACTCGGCCATGCCACCAATCATACTAAATTATTAAATAAAATAAAAACAGAGAAAATTATTATTTATTTGATTTTTCATGCAATAATAATAACTAGAAGTAGCAAATAAATTAAATGAACACTTTTACACAAACTGTAGCAACAGTAACTACATTACACAATTAAAATTGCAAAAATAAAATTATGAACTTGGATTTATAATAAATAATGTCACCAAAAATCACAGCTACCACATATAGTTAAATCAAAACATTACCAAGGAAGAATTCACTCACACACTAAAAAATGTAAAAGGTAATAGTCCTGATCCAGAGAAACACCCTATGTATTCATACAAAACTTTGGAACACAGACTACAAAATTTATGTTACATATTTTCAATCAAATCTAGAATTGACACATAGCCATCAACATTAAAAACAGAAACTGTAATACTAATTTCAAAACCTGACAAAAATAAGTTTAACTATAAAATTTAATAAATCATAGATTATTGTGATTTAAAAAAAAAAAGAAATAAAATATGAGTACTTATAAATAAACTTTTAATAAAAAACAAATCATGCGAATAATTAATCTTGACATTTCAAAGGAATTTGATACCACTTGAAGACACAACCAATACCACAGATAAAAAAAGTAGAAATAACTTTAAAACAAACTATTTGACAAAATACATTAAAAATAAATTACACTCACTAATGGAATACAACATCAATGTATCTTGAATTATAAACTGTTAATACAACATTAAATACTTCCTTGGAACTCATCATACCAAATAAAAACTGAATTCAACACCTTACCAAAAGAATCTATGTTTTTCAAATTAATTAAAAATAATTTAAATAGTATATTTCTATATAATTAAATTATATATAATAATATAATATGGTATATATAATGAAATTATTACAATGTATACTGATGCACAAAAAACTGAAAAAAGCATAGGAATATCCATAATACTAGAATATAATCCAAATGAAGGATATTTAAAGTAAGTATCATACAACAATACAGTTAAATTTATTAAACTTACTATGACCAAAAAATGGCAAAAACACAATATTCCAAACTCAACCCTATAAAATATATGGTTATGAAATGGAAAAACTCACGTATGAATTTCTTATATCCACTCTTAAGCACATACTTATGTAATGCCTCAACTACCAAACTGATTGATTTCAATTTAATATTAATGATAATAACCTTAACACCTCACTAGGACTAAATTCAGAAAAAAACGAACAAATGTTTAAATTCCTTAAAAAAAGAATCTTTTTAACAAAATATAAATTATTTTATTGAAAGAAAATATTGCCGATAATTATAAAAACCACCTAGTGTAAAATAATGTACATTTTCTTTTAATTTTTAAGTATAATTCATAATATATTGTAACTTATGTTTTAGATCAATAAAAAATAACAATAATCATTATTATTTTTTACTCGACTAGTACAATAAAAAAAATGTACTCACTCAATTTTTTCAATAATTTTAATAACTTTTTGGGGACTAGTATAGGTTCCATATGTTCTACAACAAGGATATGGTTTACAGTCATTTGCTTCATAGACAACAATTCCATAGATTGCACTACTGTTCTGTAAAAAAAATTAATGGAAATAGTACAGAATATCATGTAATTATAAAAAAAAATTGGAAAATTTTATTGATATGTATTGACAATTTAAATTTGAATTTTATAAAATTTTCATGCTTTAATTTTATTATAATATATATAATATTATAAATATTACACAAAAAATGAAATATATTATTTTATTAATAAAACGNCTCATAAAGATACAATTTAAATATTTTCAATGTCCCCAAATATTTTTATACAATTATCTCATTTTGATATTTAATATTTAATGTACCTTTTAAGTAATATGATTAAAAAATAAAATATAATTGCATAAAATTTGTTGAAAAAAACATTTGTTTTGGTTAATACTTTCTACTAATCTCACACCAACTAATTGAAAACAGGTAAAAAGAATATTATGCAATTAGAATTTATGCAATATTTATTGATAAATTATATTTCTGTAATACTTATTTTAAATATCATAAAAGAATTAATTTTATTGATCCATTTTGAAAGAATTGAAATGAAAACTATCGATTCAATAAAAACTATCAGATCATTTTTTAACACCTCATTTGTAATTTCATTTAATTTTATAATAAGCTCAAAAATGTTTAAAACAATATATTTTGCAAATGAAAACAATTTAATTTATACATTATACTATAAAAATTAAATAATTTTGCCTTATTTTAAGTACCTTATATATTTCACTTATAAAGATATTAAGTAAGTCGAAATATTTTTACAAAAAATACAAGTACTTAATATTATTCATAATTGAAAATGCAATAGAAATTAACAAACTTACTTCAGACAAATATTCTCGCTCTTCAATAGTTCCTTGATTAAAATACCTGCATACATAAATTAACTTATTAGTATTGCACAAAAAATACTTCAGCATAATAAACTTACTCTAAAGTAGGAGTAACATAATTAGCTTTTAATTCGCTAATGTAGGAATTCATAGCTGTCTTCTCAATGACAAAAATTATATCTGTTTGAACAGAATGGTCTAATGGTCCGAGAACCATGATTGTTTACTTTCAAATCTATAACTTAATAAAAGATAAAGTAACTCAAATTGGATAGTTAATATTTACATCATATTGTCAATTTATTTGCCAAGAGTAATAATCAAGTTATTATGGGTGCTATAGAAAGTACACTTAGTTCATAGCGGCTTGTTGATTGCTGTGTACATTGTGTTATGTTATGGATACTAATTCTTATCACATAATTCGAGCACAGAATAGATTAAACCAGAATGGACACTGATAAAAAAATTACATGTATTCTTATGGGAGTACGGTAATTTTGAGCTTATGTCGCTCAGTGTTACCATAAAAACAATAAAATAAATAATTATATGCATATAATTCATTGTACTGTACAATAATTGTACATCGGCGGTTGATTTGAACTCTAAATGTATTATTTACATGCTAATTATTTTAGAAAATTTGCATAGTAAATTTTTTGGATTTATTTTATTATTATTTCTAAACATATAACACCATTTTAAAACTTTCAATTAATGTTTTCATTATGTGTAATTAGTTTGTTTAATATATTTTTTATTTTATGTATATTTAATAAAGACTTATTTAGGAAAAAAAAATTATTCAATATCCACATAATATTAAATTTATTTAAAACATATATTACAATAATTTACAAATATCATATACATAAATAAATAATTTATAGATGAGTTAAAATAGACAATTTCCTATTTTTAATTTTTTTCTTAGACATTAAATTTTTATTTAAAAGTTTTATAGCTGTAAATATTCTAAATCTTGTAAACAAATTAATTAAATACAATTTATCAAAACATTTACAAGGGTGGTTAAAAGGTACATTACAAAAATAATTTTTTAATTCGGCTCCAACTCCATCTACAATAGCAAGTGTGGAAAAGTTATTAATAAAAATATTTTCTAATTCATTAATACCAATATTTACCATATATTTTTCATATTTACCAATAAACCATGTTTATAAACATTGTGTTTACAAACAAACCATTAATAATGGTGTTGAACAATGTGACCGTATGTAAAGAAAAAAGGGAATACATTTTTTTTTCTTAAGTGGCTACACTGAGCGACATAAGCTTGTTATCAGCAAAAACTAAGAGTGTCACTTCTGGTTTTATCTATTCTGTGATTCGAGTCTCAAATTTGGTATTCTGTTTATATATATATATATATATATATATGAACTCATAGAATACTAAATGTGATAACTTGAATATCATCATAATGAATTTAAAGTATACGAATCTCTCTCTATATAATAAAATTCTTAACTATAATTGTAAATCTTTCAATCTCATAGTAAACTCTATCCTAAATAGAAATTTTAGTACGAAGCTGTAATAAATAAAATAAAAAATGAATTGTAAAAATTTCCGCGAGGTAATTTTTTTAAATTTTAATTGGAGGTCTGATAACTTGTAGTAGAAGTCCCATTTTGCGGTGTTTAACTGATAAAAATATAAAGCTATTTGTATAAATTTCATATTGCAACATAGTATTTATAATGTTCTGTGATACTATCAAAGTAAAATTCAACATCTTAATTTTTTATTCTGACCTTTAATTGTTTTGAATAAGATGTATTATATATTTTTAAAATTGATTGAAAAATAATTGTCTAAAATTACTTAATCTATCAATTTTTAAAATGGATACAAAGCTACCAACTAAAAATGCTGATGAATTTGCCGATGAACTTTTTGAAACATGTAGCTTGGCAGAAATTGAGAATTTACAAAATAAATTAAAAAAGGATGTTGAACGGAAAGCAGACCAGTTAAAATCTTTGGTTAGGTGAGTATTTCAAAATATTTTACAATATGATAATTTAGTAAATTTAATTTTTAAATTATTTATTTTTAAAAATTACTAAATTTTTTTTATATTTAAAATAATTATTTATGATCAAGTCATACAAATTTTTTAATAAACTCTAGGAGTTGTTTGGGATACTAAAATCTATTTTTTCAAACTTCAAGTATAATTATGGCATATGTCATACATTAAAATTGCCAAAAAATTGTATTATACCCTAAATAAAAAAAAAACTTTACCGCAATACAAATATTTGTAATTTTGAACTAATTGCTAACTTACTTTTTAACTAAGAAAATACAAAAAATATACTGTAAATGTTTTTACCATAATAATTTTAATCACAGAATAAGTGTTCACACCTTGTATTGAAAAGAATTTTTTTTTTTCAAAATTATTTTTCTTTTGTAAGTATTACATTTCGCCAGATTTAGTGTTGTGTTAATATTTTCTTGAAACACTGATATCTATCATACATTGACATTGGATTATTGAATTTTTTAGTTGTGAAAAACTTTTTTTTCTTATTCAAGTTTTTTTAAATAGTGAGTCAGAGTAAAAATTGTTTGGTGCATAGAATTAGTGTCAATTGTGAATAAAATGAAAAATAGGCACAGATGGTTTGGTCATGTTATGAGGAAAGATACGGTAAGAGCAGTTATGGAAATGAAATTTGAAGGAAAATGAAAAACACTGAAAAAGTTATGGTTGGATGCAATTGGGTGTGATATAAGGACTATTGATTTATGTATAGATGACACAGAATAATGTGTCATTATAGTTTTTTTTTTAATAATTGCATAACATAACATATTTTACTAATATAAAACATTACATTCTTTAGTACAATTTTCTTTTTAATAATTGTTAACATTTAATTTTAATTTTGTACATAAAATTCTTATGAAATATAATTTTGACCAGTAAAAATATTATGTTAGCAATAGTGCTATCACAAAATTATTTCATGAGAGTATTTTTTTTTCTCACCAAATTTTTTTACCCAGAATCGTTATTTAGAAAAAACTTGAATAAACATCCTTCAATATTTATATCTATATGTGTTCTTTCACTTCTGATTTTTCTTCATAATTAAACCATATATACTTAGTTTTTCTCTATTTACCTAGAATCGGCACTACTCTTATGCTTCCTCTTACATATTTGTCAAAAAAAAACCCAGCACAGTGGGATGGCGATACAGTGGGGTCGTGGCATAGTTGGGTCCAGTATAGATGATATCTGACAGTGATTAAAATCACTATCATAAAAAACGCTTCGATGCAAATCTGTAGATAGTGTTTAATTTAAAAAAAAAATTTGTCAAAAAAGTAGGTCAAGTGAGAGCTAAGAACATATATGATAGCAACAAAAAAAAACCACATAGTAAAATAATATTAATATGAATTTCTTCTCACGAGAGGAGACTACAGTAATGGGATCCTTGATATTTATTGAAGTTATTGAATCTAAATGAAATAAAAATCAAATGAGTTAAACATTTTTTTCTAACTCAAAAAGAATTAAGAAAAAATTCAGTGCCACAAGCGTGAAAGACCCAAGTGTTACCATCTCAGAAACCGTACGTCTCATTAGTCACTTAATAAAAATGGAAATTTAGCTAGTTCAAATATTAAAGTTATTTTTCTTGACTTCAAAGAAACAAAAAAATTTAAATATTTTAAAATTTTTATACTATGCCAATTAGATTGATATAATATTTATGAAAATCAGTGTAATCCCCTTATAATAAAATAAAATACAAAACCAAGAATTTTAACACAATAATAGCATATTTTTGAATACGGTAGCTATTTTCACCATGAAGACAAAATAAAGTCCGAAATTTTTTTTTTGCATAATAAAGTATATTACATTAGCTTTAATTTAAGATATATATAAAAGTGTCAGACCTTCCGGAACACTTCCAAAAGTTAAGTTGAAAAAGTTCTACTTTCTATATGCATTTTTATGTTTTGAATCNTTTTTTGTGAAAAAAAAAAGTTATCATTTTGAATCCCCCCTGTGGGCTGGTAAAGGGTTAAATTTATAAAAAAAATATACCAAATGATAGGTAATGACATCAATCATCTATATAAAAAAAAAATTATATTGATTTGTTCATTTTTGAAAAAGTTATGGCAGTTTTAAGTAAAAAAAATTGAAAAAATTTCGAAAATTAGCGATTTTTAAATTTGTAATTTTTTTGGAGATTTCCCCCATTTACGGGGAACGAGGGAAATTTTTTCAATTTTTGAGGGTAATGTCTTCAATTAGATACGATTTGTGATCTTTTGACGTATCGTTGAAAGAAATCGGTTTGGTGAGAGCTGAGAATAAGTGATAACAGCCAAAAAAAAACACATCATAGTAAAATTAATACCTTCTCAGCTTCGCATCGAAACTAAAAAACATTGTGATAATGAAGAACTTTTAGCTTCGATGCGAAGCTGAAACGGTATTAAATTTACAGTGATAATTGATAGTGATTTGAATCACTGTCAGATATCATCTATACTGGACCTAACTATACTACATCCTCATTGTGCTGGTTTTTTTTTACTATATTAACATTTTTCAATCAAATTATTTTTCTATATAGTTTTAAAAATTTAATTAATGTAAGGTTTCACTAATAAAAATATACCGTTATAGTGAAAAGTATAGAGATCTCATTGATGCTGCTGATACTATTAGCAAAATGTCTACAATAGTATGTGATATTGGATGTATTGTTGATGATATTATGAAGACAAAAAAAATAAATCATATTATTACAACTGAGAGGTAAGTTCTATATTATGTTTTTATATGATTTTGGTAACATCATATAACTTTTTTTTTTTAGCCAAGATAAGACATTAGATGAATTTGCTGTTTTGACCAGACTTTTAATAGACATATCTGAACAAATATGGGATAATTTAGATAAAAAAAACTATTTAACTGCAACAGAATTGTTTAAGTTTTCTTCGTTCATTAAAAAATGTATTAGTATTAAATCATTTTACATGTTAATGATTTTAGATGATATATGCTAATTTATATGATTTATGACATAGGTCTTGATAACTTTGTCACCAATGGCTTTAATAGAGCTATACCTTTTATTGAACAAATATGGTCAAATCTTTCACATTTTAAATCAACAATAACTGAAAAGGTTAAATTAGAATTGTCTAATCCAATTATACCTGAGGTAAAAAATTTTTTAATGTTATTTATTTAGCTTTGATACAAAGCTGAGAAGGTATTCGTTTTACTATTATGTGTTTTTTTTGTGTCTGTAACCACTTATTCTCAGCTTTCACCGAACGACAAAAATTTCAAAATGACAAATTTTTCACAAAAAATTTACTTTTTCAACTTTATTTTTGAAAGTGTTTCGGAAAGTCTGACACTTTTATATATATCTTAAATAAAAATTATGTGATATACTTTATCATGGAAAAAAAAAATTTCGGACATTATTTTGTCTTTATGGTGAAAATGGCTACCAAATGCTATTTTTGTGTGAAAATTCTCGATTTTATTTTTTACATGAGAATAATATTTATATCCCTTTTTCATTCGACATAGTTTATCTTAATCAGGATATTAATAAGGAAATAGCAGATCATGTAGCTTTTCGAATAATCCACCAATTTTTTTAAATTAAATACTATCTAAAGATTTGCATCAGTGTTTTTTTTTATAGTGATTTTAATCATTGTCAGATATCATTATGCTTGATCCAACTATTCCACGTCACCACTGTGCCGCAATCTCATTGTGCTGGTTTTTATTTTGATTTCACTCAAATATTTTTAATTACAAATTGTCATCACTAAATTTTATATTTTTCTGAACTTTTTATTTAAAAATAATGACATAATTTAATCGATAAAAACCAATCTTAATATAAATCATCATTTTTGGATTTTATTTCTTTAGACAGTATTAAAGTTTTAACTAGATTTTGAAAGGTAAATTTAAATATGATGAACAAATTATTTTACACAACAATAATTTAGATAAATTAAATTTTTTCAGAAATCCTGTTATTCCTTCTTGCTATTAAATTTAGATATATTAATAAGGAGGGTGAATAGAATTTCTTTTAATAAATATTACCTTCCTTTCTATAAAAATCATTTTTATACTAAAATACGCAGAAAAATATTAATCATACAAAACTTACAAATACTTAGACACACCTGATTTTTGCACTAAACTTTTTAGTTTTAATATGTTTGTTAAAACTGTTTTTTTTTTCATTAACAATAATTATTCATAGATACCCACAAGGTTTTGATAATTTGCCAAAAGATTTATCAGAACTTCCTGTAACACTTTGTATACTAGTTGAATTCATAAAATCTTTCATTTAATGTAATGTATAGTATAAATTAAAAAGATTTTAGGTATGAAATACAACAATATAAAGGTAATGTGAATTCCTTAAAAATGTTTCATGGGTGCAATTCATGTAAAATCAGGCTAACATTTTTAGTCTCTCGGTGAACATTTTCTGGTTATATGTTTATGGTTGAGCGTTTGTATAGTAAATAAATTTCCATCTTTTTCTCTAACTATTAACTTTGTAGTGTTTTGGTGTTTATATTCATTACAAAATACTACAATTAAAATTTATAATAATTAATAATTTTTAATAATGAAAAATGATTTTATACAACATAGAAAAAAAGAGTACAAATAAAAAGTGTCACTGGATTGACGAACAGCGCGAGACTAAAAAAAATACACGAAGTGTTATCGTACTGCAGTACATCTAAGATAAAACATATAAACATATATAAACGCATTCATTGTGACATGTTATTTAACATCTTTGTTAATCCCTACATTACCCCCTTTCCAGTGAAAACGATAATTTTACGTTAAACATACATAGTTACAAATATAAAATNTATTAAGGGTTATGAAATCTCCTTTTCTTAAAAGAGAAACGGTAGACCTTAAACTATTAAAATGTAAAAACAAAATAAATCAAATTTTAAACTATCATTATTTTTAGGATGCAGCATATTGTTTCATAAGTTTATCTATGTTGGAAAATTTAAATGTTCAATCATTACTTAAAGAATTTATTGTTTTACGTTCAAATATGTTACAACATATATTATTAAATGGATGTTCAACAGATAAGAGTATTGAAAGTAGTGCTCATTTAATTATCAACACAATATACAATTTATTCATGTGTTTTACAAGTAATTGTGAAAAATTATCAAATTTATAAATAAATTACTAATAATGATTATTTTTGTATTAAAGATAACAATCAAAGTCATGATGATAGTGGAATTGTCTATTTAAAGATTAAAAATATTTTTAAAAATGACAAAAATATATTATCTTTAGTGAATTTGGATTACTCTCTAAAATTTGGTCTTATTCATTTACCTAAATATGTTCAAGAATTTAGGTATAAATTGAGTAATTAATAATATTACATTCAATTAATTGTAATTAATTTTTTAGGATTGATTATATATTGTTAAATAATGATGTTTGCCTAGATTACATTACAAATATTATAAACAACTGGCTTGAATGGTCTAGACCATTTGTTTGTACAAAAGTGTCAGATATATTAAAACAAGATACATCATTGGAAACTCTTTGTCATCTTAATAAATATTCTATTGTATATCTTGAATAATTATTTTCAAAACTATAAGAATTCTTAACTTTAAATATTTTAGGAATATCCTCAATATTGGACTACTATAACAGAGAATATAAAAGGATGTGAATCAAATTTATGGTCTGAGTTATACTGTCCCATATTTTCTCAAAGAACTAAGGATTTATTAAGTAAACAATGGGAAGATAACTTTTCTGCAATAGTTTCTGATATCAACAACTATTTGATAAAGTAAGAATAGGTTATATATATATATATATTACTATTATACACATTAAAATTGTATTTTATTAATGTAAGTTTTAGTATGTGAAATGTCCTTTTAGCTATTTTTAAAAAGAATTGAAAGTTTATATTTGATATTTTCAAAAGTTTTTAGAAGAACAATTTATCAAATAAATTTGACTTCCAAACATTTATTTAACAGCACTTTATCAACTTATATAAAATGTTTATTATTCATATTATTGAAAAGTATATGATTATTGAAGTTATAAATTATTATTAACTTTTTCAATAATATTTAATAAAACTGTCTTATATGTTTATAATGTTAATATTTCTGATAACTAGAACACAAAGTTATATGAATTAATAATTTTTTTTAAATTTTAAAAGGTCCACTTTAAAGGTCCCAAATTGTGCAATTTTGTTTTAGAATTATATAGTAGTATAAAAATATTTTTTACCGATAACATTGGTAAAAAAAAAACATTACTACATTTTCAAATCAATACAAATTTTTGTTGATTAATGGTGTTTTTAGAATAACATAACGAAATTTATAAATACATAAAATTCTGCACACTAATGATAACCAATTACCAATATTAGAAAATAAATAAAAATAATTTTGATTGACTGTATGTTGATAACATTTATAAGTTTCGTTCCTTAATATTAAGATTTATATTAGTAGGGAGGCTATTTCCCCAAGCCACTCCCTAACTATATGACCCTGATGATAAGTTAATGGTAACTAAATGTTAAAATATTATTCAACAGTATAGTTTATATAATCAATAGACAAGTATGTTCCTAAGTACTTTTTTGAAATTCATGTATTGATTGTATGTTTTATGCTCAAATGAAAGGGCGGAATAGTAACAGTGGGAAGGTACAAATTCCTCTACTGTGTATACAGCAATGATCATTACTATGATTAGCCTAATCCGGTTTATTAAATTTATTTTTGGCATCTTTTTTTTACTCATAATTTCTTTTTATAGAGGGATAAAATTTAAAATATAAAAAAAATTTTGGAGTGAACTGAGTCACCACAATTATTATGCCCCCTAGGCCATTAGCCCTACTCAAAAATATATTGTTAGCTAATTATTATAATTGTTTAAAGCAAGCAATCAAACATTTTTCTAATTTAATATGAATTATCTAGTTGTAAAAAGAATTAATTGGTGAATGATATTACACAATAAGTTAATAAATATTTAGAAAAAACAATGTTTAAAAAATATATAAGCAAAAATATTCCAAATATTTAAACACTTTATAAATTTAAGTATAAAGTCCTATAAAAAAAGTAATTTTTTCTTCTATCCTACTTAAAAAAACTTATTTAATTTGTTACAAGACTTACTTTGTATATTAGACACACATAATGGACAAAAAAATCAATGTTTTCTCATTTCTGTGATAATTAATATAACTTATGCTATAAAATCAATTTTTCAAAAATAATTTTTTACATCTTTATCTTCCAGTCCATACTTTTTAATACATAGTATTATTATAAATTGACAATTATCCTTTATTACTGTTCTTATTTTTTAAAGAACAGCTTGTAGAAATGGTACAACAAGTTTTGATCCTGAGATAGTGGTGTACAAGGAATTATGCCATTACTATGTTTTCAACTTATCCCCTAAAATATTAATCTTCTTCTTTTTCCTCGTCTTAATCCCAACTACTTGGGGTCGGCCACCCTTATCCTAAACTTCCACTTGACACAATCTCTCACATCAACCATCCTCATATTGCATTCAATTACATCCCTCCATCTCTTTTTTGGTCTTCTTCTACCTCTTCATCCTTCAACATTCATTTCTATAACTGCTCTTACAGCATCCTTTTCGTCTTTCCTCCTAGCATGACCATACCACTTAAAAATGTTTTCTCTTATCTTATCTACGATTAACGGTACACCTATACTCCCTCCTATAATATAACATATTATGTTTGTTCCTTATCCTATCTTTTCTAGTCACTCCACTCATCCATCTAAGCACTCTCATCTCTGCTATACTCATTCTCTTCTCTACTTTCTTGTCAACCTCACAACACTGTACCATACATCATACCTGTTCTCACTACAATTTTATAGAATATACCTTTCAATCTCATTGGAATTCTTTTATCGTATAACACACTAGATGCCTCCCCTCTATTTTAACCACCCGCACTTAAATCCTCGTCAATACCACCTCTCTTTTGCACAATTGATCCTAAATACTTAAAACTTTCCACCTCTCCTATCACGTCTTCACCAATTGTCACCAAACTCCTTATTTCACTGACGTCGTGTTCTTTTTTATCAAACTCGTACTCTACATACTTTGTTTTACTTCTTAAAATATTAATAATACTATTATTACTTAACTGTTTTATTATAAAATATGAAAATTTGCTGATGTTAAACTATTTAAATTTAAAACTCATCAATATTTTGTTTAAGTATTCTTAAACTAAATTTTAAAAAAACAACTAAAATTTTATTGTTTATTAATACTTTTATTTTCTCAACTAGATCTGAAGAAACACCTTTAAGAGAGAATATATTCTTCGATACAAATGAATACATAGAAACACGTTCTATTGGATGTTCTGATAAATCAGCAGATCTTTGCAAATGTTTTGAAAATAGAATTTTTTCACTTACCAATATGTTAAATAAATACTATCCAGAAGATGAAGATCCATGGGAATTTCATAATCATCAAGGGTTTTGTTGTAATAAACTTATTAAAAAGTAAAACACTTCATAATATATGAACATAACATGATAATTTATTCAATTTGCAAATTCAATTTAATGTATTATTTTATATCCATTAGTTTAGTTGATTACCTTCTTAATGTTGTTGAGGAAAATAAACTGTCAGAAGATAATATGTTATTAATTGCTAGGTTTTCATGGTACATTCCTATGCTATGTCCAAAATTAAAACACTGTTTAGTCTCATCTTATTCCCAGGTTAGTTAAAATTTTCTAATTTACAAAAATTGAAAATAACCGAGGTACTGTTGGCCAAGTTAAGCACCTTAGATCTTATTACTTGGCTATCAAGTTATGTTTTCTTGGTACTTCATGTGTAAATTATAATTTCTTTGATCTGTATATTTTATTGTCTTATTCTGTTTTTATTATGCTTTTTAATTTTATATTATATTATATTAACATTTTTTTTTTTTTTTTTAGTTTAACTTTTGGATATCATCAAAAGATTCAATTCAAAATGCTTCTATCATAGCTTGGAACAAGTGGAGTGATATTGTTGTTGATAGAATATTTGTTGGTCTTCAAGGACATTTTTTACCAATTACTCTGGGAGAACAATTATCAACAATTCCTGTAAATATTTTAAGTTAAATTTTGATAGTTTACAAAAATTTTGTTCTATAAATTCTTTTTCATACAATATAGATAACTCTTAGCAACTTTTTTAACTATTGAAAAATAATGTTATTAGTATTATTTTCAATAGTGTTTAAATTGCTATTACAGCAATTACACGAAACTGTTAATTTTCAGTTTCTTTTTTTAACCATGAATGAATCATGTTTAATGTACTCTCTAGAAGTTATTACTTATCCCAGCAAAAATAACAAAATTTATATAGCCAAAGGCAACATAATCAAACCTGGTATTTACACACCGAGGCACAATGTATTACCTGCTAAGCTAGGTAGGCCGTCTATTTGATCTACAATTTTGGTAGCTATTAACATATGTACAACAGTATTTTACATATTTTTCATACTTACAATCAATATAATATGTTGACCTGATTTAAATAATGTCAATATGTTTTATTTTTATGACAAATATAATGTGTTAAACTGTAAAGGAGATAAGTTTAGAGATATGCTTGTTGTGGGTATTTTATAATTAGATGGAGATAACTTTGCTAGTTGATCTGTCAGTTCATTATCTAGTTTACCGCTATAGTATGGAGACCAAATTAACTTAATATTCTGGTCTTCTAATTTTATTTTGAATTAACTATTCTTATTTTATACAAAAAATTGATTAAATGTTAAATCATATTATTAAATTTCTAAAAAAAAAAAAATGTAAGATGACATAAAACCATTTTGGATAAGAAATCTAGTTTTACAATTTATGGAACTTAGTAATCCAAATGGGGGTAAATTTTTCTTTCAAGACTACATTTTTTGTGTATGAATTAGTAATCTCATAAAATTATAAAAGTAATTATATTTATAGTTTCATATGAGACACCATGTTTCTTTTTTTACTCTTCTGTAAATTAGTTCTTTTAAAAAATGTTTTTGATGTTAGAGTAATGAAATATTTAATTTTGAACATTTATTTTTAGCACAATCTTATGGTGTTTGAAGCAGCTCTATTGTAACTTTAAAATAATGTTTGTAATAATTGTTTCAATACACAAAATTTTTTACTTTGTTTTGTACATTTAACACATAATTATTATTTTTTTTATAAATCTTTTCTCTTTACACTATAGAAATTGAATTAAAAATATCATAGGTAACATACAAATGTTCTAATAAATATACTTTATGGTTTTTTTTAAACACTAATGTTTATTGTTCTATGTAATTAATTACATAATATTTACTGTAATACTATTATATTTACTTTGTAGAAATGGGAAACTATTGACATAGAAGTGGAAAAGGAAAGTGGTGAACTTATAATATCAAAATTATATATACCTAATCAACCTTCATTTCCATTGCAAAAAATTATTTTTGGCATAATAACCCACATAGCAGTTATATTGCCTCCCAGGTACTTTTTAATATTAATAAAAAATGTATGACATTATTTTTAAAATAATTTTTGTACTTATTTTTGAAAAATATTTTGTTTAATTCTCTTCTATCAAGTTGTACTCATAAGAGACCATAGTGATCAGTTTAAAATTAAAAGTCATAGATTTAATTTATTTGCTTATACAACTTATCAAAGACCATCAAGGTCACCACCAAACAAAGGAGAGATTTCTCAACCATTCATACCACAGGAAAGGTATTTAATCCGTTGCTGGAAGAAGAATGGCAACCATTTTATGAACTGATCTGATTTGTAAAACTACAATTTTGCATTAAAATTTTTCTATCTTAAAGTGTATAAATTATTGGAAAGTGAAAAATATTAAAATATGAACACTAATTAGATAACACATTTTCATATGATTAAACACCATTTTACGTTTCATTGTAGATTTGTATTTTTATTAAATTACTGATAATATAAGTGTACATACTGAGATTTTTTTGGATGAAGGGTTTCAAAAAATAAATTAATACTTTAATAATGAATGTTGTATCACCAGATTATTAAAATTAACAATACACTAAATGATCTAAACATTTAAATAATAGAAAGTAATTTTAAAATACCCCTAAAATTTTGACACACAGGTTAAGTTTTGAGGAGGTTTTAGGCCCTCAAAAATTCCAGAAAATTAAATTTTGTATGATGTTGAAAAAACTTGGAGCATATGCCCCGAAAGATTTTTCATCTGTTTTTTCTACTGATAACAATTTAATTTTTAGTAATTATTAATATACTTTAAAAATTGTATATATTATAACAGGCTTATTCATGAAAATTTGATTTCTTCTTGTATTAATTGGATATTAGAAGAATACAAAAGTAATTTTGAAGTTGAAACATCATTGAAATCAAAATATCAAATTCAAAAATTATTTGATCTTAAGTACATCAGTATGCTTTTTATAAGCGTTGAAAATGAAGTAATATAGTTAAATTCATGTAATCTAAAATGTAGGAATAGATTAATTATGAAAAGTTTTAACATAATCAAAAAGCTAAATATAATTTTTATTGTTATTTATTTATACATTAAAATTTATTTCAAAATTAATTGAAGGTATATCATTCCTTTTCCTACGCTTTTATGTATTATAAAAAATAATTATTAATTTATCTAAGATAATGTGATGAAAAGTTCAGGAATATTTTCTTTTTTAGGCATTGTCTTCTAAATGTTCTCAAATTATTGTCGATATTGAAAATCAAATTGATCCTATAAATTTAGATGCAATAAATGAGTATATTGTAAAAAATGTAAAACGAGCTGTAACTACAACAAAGGTATATTTTTTTATAATTTCTTAAAAAAAAAACCTATTTTAGGAATGTCTATATTTTTCATATTTATTTATGTAGCTATAAAATAAAACATATTTATTTTAGGATATGTTTTTATATTTATAGTTGTATATTATTTATTTTTATCATTTTTTAGATCTTATATATTAAAAAAAAATTATGTTTCAGTGTATTTTTGGCACTTCCCTACCTAGTCAATCGGCAATAGAATTTTCTGATGAAGCAAACAACATGATGTTCAGCACCTATAGGTTTAAATTATTTTTGGTTACAGATACATAATGGATATTCTAAGAACTATTTTGATTTTATTCCAAGGAAAAAATATTTAACAAATTTTATAAAAATAATTGCTGAAATATATTATTAAATTATATTATCTTTTATAAAAATATAATTTTAAATAATAAATAAAAAATTTTTATCACCGAATGTATTTATCTTTAAAAATTTATATAACAAGCATAAACTTTAATTTTAATGACTTTAATGTCATATACTGAATTTGTTTATTTTTAAATATCCATAATTATATATTTTAAAAATATAAAATTTTTATTTTTTGTCTATACAATTTGTTAAATTGAATTAGAACAATTTTGAAAAATACATTAATGGTGTATTATTTTGTAACACCTCCCCATTTTGATATCATAATTAATAAATTATATACCAATTTAATAACAAAGTAACATATTTATAAATACAATAAACAATTTATAAATGAAACATTTGTAGAGTTTAAATGTATACCTCAGATTATACATGAAATATTTTGATATTTATATTTTATAACTATGATAATACCAATGTAGTCTTTTTATAATACTGAGGTAAAAAAATAACTTGTTTAAGATTAATTATTTTCTTTTTTTTTTATATATATAATAATAATAAGCATTTTAAAAATAATAATTACTAATCAGTTAACATATAGTATACTACTTTAACAAAAATAATTAATTTAAGTAAACAATATAAATATATTTTAGGGTAAATTATGTTGATCAATAAGCTGACCAAAAAATAATTATTATAAATATAATAATAGTTATTATTTTTTTAAATTATTAATAACCTTTCATTCAATTTTTATAATGATAGTAAACATTGTATAATAATAAATAAATCAAAATAATAATTGTATAACAATAATAAATGGTTGGGCTTTAAAATATTGTTCGTGATTATATTTAAATATTGAGCAGAAAGAATTAAGTGCCCTTCTCCATTTTACTTTAGAAAGTGAAAGGAATATTTAAAAATATTAGAAATAACATATGTTGCCCAAAAACATGATAGCTTTAGTGGGCGAGGTTAATTTTATTGTAAGCATTTTGTAACTACAAAACAATAAAATTACACCTAAATAAATAAAAAAAATGCTTATTCTTAAGAAAAATAATAGATTTAATAAAAACTAACTAAATTAAAAACATTTTACATAACTTGTTCAACCATTTTAGTTATTACAACCTTAATAAATAATAATTTAATAATATGTATAATTTATGGACCAAGATGTAAAATAATCTTACTAAAAAATGACGATCTCAGTTTTTTTTTTAACCGCCTTTTTATATATCTGAAATACCCTGATAAATGCATATTTTACATATTTTCAAACTGATCAACTCTGCGTTTTGTGTTTCCTTTTCTAATTTCACGTAAAGTCTTATATTTGTCACGTCCTTGGCGAACATTTTCACGATGAATTTTGTCCATAGCAGTCTCTTTGGTATCATCACGTGACTGTGCCAAATCTTGTTTTAACATCTAGAAAAAAATAGTAATTTATTTATTTTAATAAAAATATTGTTTTATGGAAATAGGAATGTATAAAAAATTTATTTACTAAAACACATTAAAAATGTATGATCCATTAAAACAAAAACAAATGGCATTCTTTGTAATCACTATATTTTATTAAAAACATGTGACTACATAGAAAAAAGGTTACTTTATTTGAAATGGTGAAATAATAATAGAAGTTTGGATTAAAATTACTTAACCTAAAAATGTTGTAACAAATAAACAGTTGATCGGATAAAAAAAATTATAATAATAAAATTATTTGTAATTTTTACTTTTATCATATTAAGAAATTAAAATTAAGGGTACCCATTATGAAAATATAACTTCTTGTTTCTTAACCCTGGATGTAATGAAAAAAATTTTTTTTACCAAATATTGTAGTTTTTTGGACAAAATAATTTTTTTTAACCAAAAAATAAAATTTTTTAATTGATTTTGAGAAATAAGTATTATAACAGATTTTGATCATTCTGTATTCAACATATTGAAACAATCATACCTTTAATTGATCTTGAAGTCGTTCATTACGCTCAGCAAGTGTACGACGCTCTTCTACAGGATCAATAATATCCATATCAGTATCTAAATCACGAGATTCGTGACCATTGTGCATTTCATCATTATCATCATTTTCATTTTCATTTTCCATCACATGATGATGCTTAGGTGTGGCAGCTGCTGCCATAGCAGCTGCTGCAGCTTCTTCTTGTTTACGTCTAGCTTCTTCAACTTCTTCCTATTTACATTAATGCAATAATATAATTAGTATATAATTTGGGATAATACTTTACAAATTAAAAAAAAGTTTTAAATTTAAAGAAGTTTTATCCTGCAGGATGATCCATAAGGATTACGGGATTAACAACCCCGCGGACCCTAGTTAATTCAGTGGGGGTAGCAACACATACCACTGCTCTTAGCCGGTCATGACTTTGGTTAGTTCGGACAAGTAGGCCCGGGCATACCTGCTTGATAACAGCAAATAGATCCGCCTAACCCAGCCATACCAAGTGAAAGGGTTGCTAACTTGTCACAGGGTAGTTAGCCGAAAGGTAAAGTGACCATTGAGATCCTCTATGGCACCTGGCGCACCATAAAGTATACAGACTTATCACAGTATCGAGCTCTGCTGTGACGGACCTTTATTTCTCGACTACTCGTGGGAACTATATGGATAAAAACATAGAAAAACCACAAAACAACGAACTTTTGACAATCAGGGATCCTACAGACAACCTGTTAGAACAATAGCGTGAACTGGTGGTTCTTCGCAGAAGAATCATCAAACTTGACAGTTGCAATTCAAACAATGGGACACTTGGTGAACATTCTACTAGCTAAGGGACAGCAACGTCTACAAATGCAGACTAGGAGTCGCAAGATCAACTGGAAGCATTAGCTGATAAAATTGAGGGTCTAAAACTTAGACTCTCTAATTGATACTGGGTAAGGAGGCTCAGAACCTGCTGGTATACAAGAATAAGAAGATAACTATTTTAAGTAACAGTCAAGCAGCTTTGAAAACACTTTGTAATGATCAGGTAAATTCAAAGCTTGTCCTCGAATGCAGGGAAACTTTAGAATCACTATTGAGGTTCAAAAAAGTTACACTAGCGTGGTACTAGGACAAAACAGTGTCACTGGAAATGAGAATGCTGACTTTCTAGTCAGGAAAGGAGCAGAGAACACCTATGTTGGACCAGAACCAGTGGTAGGACTCACTGAGCAATCGCTCAAAGCGCTACCCAAGAATTGGCGCAGAAAACAACACAGGAAAATCTGGAAGTACTTAGTAGTATCTAGACAATCTAAAATATTTATCAAGACCCCTGATTTACTGCTGTGTGATCTTAATAGGATGACAAGATATTAAAAACCTAAGAACCAGAGAGATACTTAATTTTATCGTAAAGACAGGATTCTTTGGTCATCAATAGGGGTGACTTGATGGTCCATCCTTATACAATGATAGGTATAATGTAACAACACTTCAGTGAGTAAACTGAATCAAGACAATTCAGTATGAGGTGCGCACAATGGACCAACAGGTTTGAGTGCATGAGTATTATGTCCACCTCGATAAAAACTAAAACTAAACAAGTTTTATCTATACCTGTAAACGTCTTGTTTCTTCATCTTTAGTTTCAACTTCAGATTGAATACGCATCACTTCTTCTTGCTTAGCTTTGATCTCTTCTTCAAGTTTTACTCTTTCTGCAGCTTCCATATTTTTAGATTCTTCTAAACGTTCCATCATATTCTGCAACTCATTTTGCCTTTGCTCCAATTCTTCTTTTGCTAATTGAAGTTTATTCAACTGATCTTCCAAACGACGAATCATATCCTATTGTTGAAATAACATAGTTATTTAATTCTAATATAATATTCAAAATACATTTTAAAATAATATTAATATTTATAATTTCAATATTTACTTGAGCACTAAGTAAATCTTGTTCTCGTTTAGAAATTTCTGCTTGCATTTGTTTTAGACGCTCTTCATATTCTTGATGTTTCTTTTCAGCCTTTTCTCTAGCAGCTATTTCAAGTTGAAGTTTTTCACTGTAATTAACATTTAACGTGGTATTACATCAAAATAAATAAAAGGGACTATAAAAATTCTGATTTTCATGTACTCATTTATTTTAATTTTTGTTTAGTAAATAGTCTACTTACCGTTGCTGCTGTTTTGCTAATTTTTCTTCTCTGGCTTGTGCTTTCATTTGTTGGACATCTATAGTATCTGGTTTACGCCTCCTCATATACAATTCATGATTACCCATACAAAGTGCTAAAATACGCTTATTGATACGAACTCGTGGAGCAAAGAATACAAAATCTGGAGCTTTTTTATCAATAGGCTTGATGATAAATTTTCGATCATTGAAAGAAATATTACGGATTTCTGACCATGGAAAACCAATTTTTGGGGTAAGTCTAAAAAATAATTAATAATTTTTTATTGTTGTTTCATTAGTATTTTTATTTATTCATTTATTTATTTATAAGATAACACCCTCGAAGGGCAATGTAGTACAGGTAGTAATATAATAATATAAATACAATTTTAAAAAATTAACAATATACAGTGATACATTTATAAAATTAAGGTGAACAATAATTAGATATTAAGTATAAAAATAATATAAATTAGAAGTAATTTTTATGAATATAATATTAAATATTTGTGTTAGAATGATTATTATTAGTTATTACACATTTTAATTTGTTAGGATAATCATAAAAAAAATCAAAGTTGGAAATATTATTACAAGACATTAACATACGGTTTATTGGGCTATATTTAATGAAATTATTTTTCCCTAGAATAGTAAAAAATAATTGTTGAGATCGGGTATTATAAGCTGGTATTTTAAAACAAATTTGATCAAGTAGCTCTGGGCAGATAATTTTATTATTTAATAGTTTGTATATAAATGTTAAATCAATAAATAGACGTCTTGATTCTAAGGTTGGGATTTGACATTTGATACACATTTTAAAATGTGTATTATAATCAATAGATAGCTTTTAAGTATAATGTTTGATTATTATTTCAAAAGATACTTACTTATCATCTTTTTCATAGATATTAAGACCAAGAGCATCAACACCCAAAAATAATTCAGTTCCTTTTTTGTTGAGTATGTCAAAATAATTAACGCCATACATTTCTAGATCTTGAGCAATTTTTAAATATTCCATCATAGCATCCTCGCGCAACATTCCTCTGTGTTCATGCCACCATGTAGTGATACTAGACTCCCACTCTTCTCGAGTCATTTTGTGTTGATCCATAACACTAAAAAAATTATTTATAAAAAATTATTTAAGAATAAAAATAATAAAATTATATCTGTGAATAAGATTGAATACCGTTGTGGTAATAAACGGTCATTTGTAAGAAAACCTGGAGTGTGAGTTAGTTTATTGAAGTCTCCATGTCTTGCTTGAACAGCATATGAAGCAAGCAACACAGATGTTTCTGATGGACAGTAGATCTCATCTGATAAAATGGCATTCTTTACCTAAAATTTTTATTTTTTATTGAAACGTTAGTTAAAAGTTACAAAATGAATAATTTATTTTGAATTTTAAATAAAATAAAATAATGGAGATATCATAAAACCCAACTAATAGAATCATACATCATTTTCAGTAACCAGTTAATATAATTTTATTTATTTATCTTTTAACTAATTTGTCATTAAAAAAAAATGATTATTTAAATTTCAAATTAAATGAATTAAATTATTAAATAATTGCAAACAATAGGGCTCTTTTTTTCCTGATCTGAATAGTCTGATTTCTACAATTATTACATTTTTAAATCCAACCCTTCAATTAATAATTCAATAGTACAATCTAAACAAAAATATTAAGAGAAAATATTTTAAAAGCTTAAAAATGTATTGTAGAGTAAAGCAAAAAATGTAACTACATTATTTCATAAAAATTAATGATGAATTTGGAGCTAATTTTATTTAAAAATTAGTAAAACATTGATTAAAATAAAAGATTATTTAGAACACTTAACTTTAAAAACCACAAAAATAGTGTGGAAAAAATACAGTGAATACTATTTTGAAAACCAAGTTATCATCATCAGAGCTAAACAAATAATTATAATAAGTTGGCTGTCAAAATACCTATTTGAGATGTTTTATTCAAAATATTACTGTTGCTTTTATAATAAATTATTTTAATGATATTTTAATTTTTAAATATATTATATACTTGAAGATAAAATAATCTTAAAGTGATATCCTGTATAAGTTCTTCAGCAACATCTTCAGGGTAAAATTTAGCACGGAATTTAAATTGAAGTGGATTTTCCTTTTTGACATCTTGGCTCATAACCTATAAATACAAACATATTTTTTATATGTAAAATATATGTTAAAAATTAAGAAATTAAAGCACAGTATTTACAAAAATATCTACCTATACAAAAAATGAAATTTTTATTATGAAGCATTTTGAGTGTGCACAAAGGGCAATGATTGTTATTCTAACTAACTTAAAAGACACAAATATCAAAGTATACTAAATATACAAGAGTATAATGAATATACAATAGGGAAAAAAGTACAAATAACTCATAAGTCTCTCACTTAGTATGAATTATAAATAGAAATATTATAATTTAATTTAAAAAAATAAAGTTAAAGCCATTATAAGATATAAAGGACGAATTAAAAAAAAACTAATAAATCTAGAAATATATAAAATACTAAAAAGAATTTTCTTGATTTAATTATTATTTTATGAGAAATCGAGTGGCTAATATTAGAAAAATCACGTTGAATAATTCGATAATTAATTAAGTTTTACATCTTAATTTTTTTCAAATAAAAATTTTGATAAGTCGTCAATTTGATTATCCATTCAAAGCTAATATCAATAATATATTTGATTATCCATTCATAGCTAATATGAATATGGAATATTAGTATATTAATGTAATTGCTGTCATATCCAGGATATTTTTACATTTTAAACACCAAGTTTTACATTTTATATTTTAGATAAAAAAATCAACAAAAATTTTACCAATTTTTTTTTAGTATTAGGCTCTCAATTGAAAAATACTGGGGTAAGAAACTGTGAATAATCAAAAATCATTTGTTTGTATATTCGTAAAATATTCTTGTAGAAATTGTAAAGTGGCTACTTCTAAAAAATACATTTTTAAACTAAGATAAAGAATTTTTATTGATTAACTTAAAAAAACCTAATAATAATTTCAAACAATTAAATTAAGTAACACTTATATACATGGAAATAAAAACGAAACCTTCACTAAAAAATAATATTATTAATTTTACCAATAACCTTGTAGAAATTAATGTCACAAAAAACGACGAACTAACATAACTTAATTTTATAGATAAAATGCGAATGTTTAATCATCACACATATGTATATATAAATAAATTCATTTTATAATTTAAGTATTTTTCTAATAAATGTAAATAATTTTTTACGGTCATATTAAAATTAAGGTAGAATTAATGAAGGTTAATAAAATTCCACAAGACGTGCGAAAAAAATATTATTTCAAAAAATGCATTGGAATATAGGTATAAAATATCAAACAATTCCAAAAATTACTAAAAAATAACATTAAATAGATTTACTTGTTTAATTATATATTTTACATATTTGTATTGGACACCTCAAAATATACGGTAATAAAACAACAATTAAATGTTAATGTATAATGTAAAGTAGAACGCAACTGATTATTAAACTACAAGTATGGACTTTAAATTACTGGGCTTAAACTTAGTGCGGATGGCACTTTCTTTAACTAAAATATCATTAGTTGATCTAATCATTATCAAGAAACTCCATACAATTTTCGGAAGTGTAGAACAGCCCAGTTATTCGTAGAACAACTAAACAATAATTTAATGATATAGTTATATTTAAACAATAATTTTTCATGTACGTATAATTAGAACGCGTACTAATGTTTATGTATGCATTGAATACTAACATAAATTTAACGGCGTATGGGTAAATTCATTACTATGTCAGCAATTGAATATGACGAAGGACATTAACAAAACAACTGGTCAGATGGTCATTTAGAACAGTTGAGTAGTACATGATAGGCAAACAAAATAAGCAGTATTGACGAAACATACCTGAATTACGTATAAAATAAATAAATAGGTGTTTTAAATAAAATGACATATAATCAATAATAAACAATATAAAATAATACATATTTTGGATCGAGATAAAGAATAAATATTTCTAATAAATCCTTAGAATTAATCTATAACGGATAACACAAATAATATACTATACAAACACAATCTAAAGTCAAACATAAACATTTACTAGTTATATAGTACCTGTAACCAATATTTATGTGTGGGGTCGAAATAATCAACAGGCTCCTCAATAAGTGATTTTCTATTTTTAAAGTATTTCCATAAAAATGTATACATATTGTTTGGCTGAAACCCGCATGTAAGCACAAAAAAAAAAAAAAAAAAAAAAAG